TGTCTCCCACATGCATTTCAAATAGATGTTTTTATTAGCATAGGATTTTACACTGTGTATCTGTAGATTTCTAGAAATGTGGAGGCATATTTATGGCTTCTTGACTCTGTGGCTTATTTTCGTTGGCCAGTTTTGGAAAATTCTGATACCTTTTTACATGTGCCTCTGGCTAATCTTCTCTCTCTTCTTCTAAGACTTCAATTTTACATATATTAGATCTTTAATAGTATTTCCATGTCCTTTATCATCTTTTCTTTCTTTTCTGACCTTTTTTTCTGTTTCTGATTCAGGTGTTTTATTCTAATATATCTTCTGTCTCACCAATTTATCTGTGTCTAACCTGATTTTTATTTTGATTATGTATTTGGTCTATAATTTCTATTTAGCTCTTTAAAATATGCCATTTAAAAAATATCTTAGAGAATTAAATTCTTAATTGTATCTTGTATCCTCTTGAACCGTATATGTATCATATAGTACCAGTACCTGGGGCTCCTTTTGGTATGTTTATATTTTGTATTGTTTCTGCTTATTATCTTATCTCCTCATGTGTGTTGATATTATTGATTGTGTGCTTGATCTTGTATTTGACACATTTTTGTAGAAACAGTTTGAGGCCTAAGATGATATCTTTCTCATGGAAGGAATATGTTTTCTTTTGGCAGACACCTAACTGCACTAGCAATAGAGTCTTATTTAACTTGATTCCATGTACTGGATGATTTGAAACTAGGCTTTCCTCCCCTGCAAAGGACAGTCTATTCAGGATTGCCCTTGTTCCTAATGCAGAGGGGCTTACCAGGGACTCTGCAAGGCTGTCAGAGAAGTCACTTAGGCTCTCAGTCCCTCAAGACCCTCTTCTAGAATCAGCAAATAGCCCCAAGCCCAAAGCAGGCCCCAAATTGCATGCTCACTTGTCTAGCTATTAGTTGTCTCTTAGATCTTGGAAGGGTAATTTTTTACTACATTGTTAGTTTCCATATGCCTGTGTGCAGACGATTTTTACATTTTGTTCAGCTTTAAAAATTCCCCTTGCCAAGGAGTTGATTAGAGTTACCTAGTCTGCCTTTACTGAAAGAGGAAATTCCCTTTCCTGTTATTATCCCTTCTTGATTTAATCTTAGAATGATATTAACCACAACATTTCTATTTACATGCCTGCATAGGTTCTCTGTACACACATACCCCTCTACCATACCCTGTTCACCATCTCCACATCCACACAGATCAACTGATTGTTTTCTAATGACACCTTAGAAGTAATCCAGAACCTAAAATTAAATATTTTGCCAAAACCCTTGTGATATGTGTCCTTAATTTACACTTTGAGTTCTTAAGCTTCCTTATTTTGTTGGTGTGACATTATGTTTATAGTAGCAGTAGCAGGATGGTGGAGCTTACATTCTAGCCACACTGTTAAAATTGTGATAACAGCAGGTCATCTTCTCTGGGGTGTTACAGAAGGCTTCGCTGAGAAGTGACAACTGACTTGTATGAAGAGAAATAAGTAGACAGAGCAAGATAAGGGGAGATAGGAAAGCAAACATTGCCAGCATTGAGAAGGAAAGAGAAGCATGCAGATTGAATGCAGATTCGAAGAACTGAGAGAAAATCAGTGTGCTAGAGCATAAAGCAGGAAGAACTGCTGAGGCAGTGAAAAAGCCCAAATTATGCAGATCCTTAGGTGCATTATGCAAGAGAATATTCAAATTACAGTGTTAAATGCTTTTAAATCTCATGCTGACTCTAAAGTCGAAAATGAATCAGAAAAGAGTGATGTAGGATGGAATGGAAGGGATGTAGTGGGTGAGGATCACTTGGAATCTGTGACCCTTACCTGAGAAAACCTTCAAAAAAGCTTGGACTGGGGTGGAAGTAACCTGTTGGAGAGGTAGATGGATTACAAAAATAGACAACAAAAGGCCGGGCGCGGTGGCTCAAGCCTGTAATCCCAGCACTTTGGGAGGCCGAGGCGGGTGGATCACGAGGTCAAGAGATCGAGACCATCCTGGTCAACATGGTGAAACCCCGTCTCTACTAAAACTACAAAAAATTAGCTGGGCATGGTGGCGTGTGTCTGTAGTCCCAGCTACTCAGGAGGCTGAGGCAGGAGAATTGCCTGAACCCAGGAGGTGGAGGTTGCGGTGAGCCGAGATTGCGCCATTGCACTCCAGCCTGGGTAACAAGAGCAAAACTCCGTCTCAAAAAAAAAAAAAAAAAAATAGACAACAAAACCAAACCAGGACTATATGAGCAATTAAAAAAACCAGTGGTATCAAGGATAACTCCTGAAATCCTGGTTTGTAAACCAGGTGGATAACAATGGCACACACTAAGGGGACTAGAGAAAGCCCACATTAGGATGAGACACCGGAGGAGGCCCAGGTGTTAGAGAAAATACAATGAGCTCAATTTTGGACTTGTTACCTTTGAGGCATCCAAAGTAGAGATTGCAGAGAGTTGTATATACAGATCTGATACTCTGAACAGGTCTGCCAATAAAAAAGTAAAATTTGTACAGATTCCATTTAAAGGCATTGTGTGGAAGAGATTGTCTACAGAGAAAATGAAGACCAAAAGGGGAGAACTGCTACTGTAGACATAATTTTACACTAACAAAATAAGGAAGCTTAAGAACTCAAAGTGTAAATTAAGGACATATATCACAAGGGTTTTGGCAAAATATTTAATTTTAGGTTCTGGATTACTTCTATGGTGTCATTAGAAAACAATCAGTTGATCTGTGTGGATGTGGAGATGGTGAACAGGGTATGGTAGAGGGGTATGTGTGCACAGAGAACCTATGCAGGCATGTAAATAGAAATGTTGTGGTTAATATCATTCTAAGATTAAATCAAGAAGGGATAATAACAGGAAAGGGAACTTCCTCTTTCAGTAAAGGCAGACTAGGTAACTCTAATCAACTCTCTTGGCAAGGGGAATTTTTAAAGCTGAACAAAATGTAAAAATCGTCTGCACACAGGCATATGGAAACTAACAACATAATAAAAAATTACCCTTCCAAGATCTAAGAGACAACTAATAGCCAGACAAGTGAGCATGCAATTTGGGGCCTGCTTTGGGCTTGGGGCTATTTGCTGATTCTAGAAGAGGGTCTTGAGGGACTGAGAGCCTAAGTGACTTCTCTGACAGCCTTGCAGAGTCCCTGGTAAGCCCCTCTGCATTAGGAACAAGGGCAATCCTGAATAGACTGCCCTTTGCAGGGGAAGAAGAGCCTAGTTTCAAATCATCCAGTACCTGGAATCAAGTTAAGTAAGACTCTGTTGCTAGTGCAGTTAGGTGTCTGTACATTGTTAGTGCTGCTGGTTGCTGGGTTTCTAGGTCTCTAGCACAGTGCCTTGAACATAACTGAACATTTGAGTGAGCGCATATAGTCAACAGGAATCACTCAAAGGTAGAGATCCTTATCTTGACTTCTTTCCAATTTCCCAGAATACATAGTATGATGCTGGGACTTGATTAAAATTAAAATTATGTTATCTTCAGAATTAGATGTCTTTGGGCTACTTTTGAGAGAGATTAGGATGGAAGGTGAAAGTATTATGACTGACTTGGGCGGAAAAAACCCTGTTTCCTCTTGCTTATAGATATTTGCTAGACTTTCCCTGGCTGATTTTTTTCTAAGAGAACTGTGTATAATTTTTGGAAAAAACATTTAATTAGTTAAATATTACTACAGTGGATCATTCGGAAGGAATGGTTCTTTATAGCTATCACATCCATTAAAAAGATATTTCTTTGAAAAACATATCCTTTCTTTGCAAAGTTTCAAATTGCTGCTTATTTATATTTTAAGCCTAAATTTTGAAATTCCTGTAATTCTAATTTATGATATTTAAAAATGACTTAGCAGAGTATTTCAGCTAGAAGGCTCAGTTGCAAAACCATGGTCTTGAAATTTATTTGTTTGTTTTGGCATTCTTATGATTTTGCATGACAGTGTATTTTATTGTACATTTGCAATAGTCATATGATACTTACTATTGGTATTTCCTTTATGGAAAGAGTTCTTAAGGATATTTTTATGTTTACCTCTTCATGAACCTTGCTAATCACTGAAATGCAGACTTAGGAATGGTAAAACATACCTCCCTTTGTTATTTCTGTTTACTGTCTTCACTTCATTTTCCGCCTCAGATTTTGATTTTCAGTGATCTCATCTAATTTTCTTTACTCTTTATTTTAGCGGTGGAATGTGGCAATCAGGGATAGGGGAAATAATGAGGTATAATCATTAAAGGTATCTTAGGGCTGGCATATTTCAATTATTCATACTTAACCTATTTGAAAGTCTTTTATAAATATTATGATTTTATAATGCAGAGAGCTGTTACACTATTATGTTAATTACTAAAAATTCTCACATTATGATCTTCAATGCCCCAGATATTTTATATGTCCCAGACCTTCAGTATTTTAATATGGAAGTCCTTATTATTTAATTTCACAATAATCAGTGCTCTCTCTAAAAATACACAGACATTTTGTAATTTTAGAGTTCCTTTACCTTTTACTAGCACTATTCATGATAAATACATTTTTCACTTTTATTCAACAAGATTCTTTTCAGAATTTGTGAATCTTAAACACTCATTCTTTTGGAGAAAGCCAGTGATTTATTTAATGCTTTTCTATGTGTATTGCAAGGAGAAATATCTTCCTGATGGATATAATACAGGCTTGTTGGAGACAGAGCTATTTCTCTCTCTGCAAGGAATGTATTATGTTGTTTTACAAAATGCTTTCTTGCACCACTCATAGCAACTAAAGAGTGAATTTAAACACAGACATGTCTAGTACACTTTCCTTCCTTGAATGGATGCAGTTTTTAAAACTTGGAAATGTACCATTAACTTTTAATGTCTCATTTCATTTTTGAGGAATTCGAGTTGGGATGCCAGCTGTACAATAGTAATATAAGAGGAATAGTAACTGGCATTAAGGCATGCACTTAAGCAATAGAGGAATTTACTTTTCAGTGTCTTCCAAGGTCCATGAGGATGCACACTTATTTATCCAGAGAGTATGGATCTCACATATGTTTGTCCAGAGGGTGTGACTCTGTGGAAGAGAACACTTACCGGTAAGTATTGAACTCTTATTGTATTATGTTTCAGAAAAATATGTTTAGAAAATCAGTTAATTTTTAGCAGTGATGAAATCTCTTAGTCTGTGCTGGTTTCTTAACAGTGGACAGTCCCTGATGTTGAAGTCAGCACAACAAGAGAAAAACCCAAATCCTGATAAGACTTGAGGATTTTTCGAAAATTAAATGCAAAATAGTTGGGGCAAATGTTGCTGCGGGAGTCAAGACTAAGTAATACAGTAAGAAGATATGAAGTTGGAGAGCTTCTCCTGTTCTTCTTTTGTATAATGTTTGCATACATACAAAAACCAGGACTTAAATGACTTTAAGAGGGGGCAGAATTGCATCTCTTGGAATTTAACAGACTCGTGTGAACTGGAATGTACCTTGTGGCCCTCACAATTTATTTTAATATTTCTTTGCAAAGTCCTTTCTGTTTCTAAATAAAAACTGTGCCTTCTGAAACCCGTAAGTGATGTATACTGGCCACATCAAATCTTTTAAAACTGTTTTCCAAACCCAAAATTGTTAGTGTGGAACAAATGTTTCTTTTGGGAACAGTAAAACAAAGGGGTACGGAAGGTTTGATTTCAGAGACCAATTGCTGCTTCTGCTTTATACTCTAACATTCTTCTTCTCTTTCTCTCAGCCAAGAACTCTCATGATATGCAATTGACTTTTGGTTGAAAAAGCCTGTAAAATAATGTTTGTGTGTGTGATACAAAAGTGTAGAATAAAACAAAAATCAGCCACTCCAATACGTGATAGGTTTTCTGGCAATTAACCGTAGCACTTAGACTATTTGCCACAGGAAATGCCACTGCCAGATCTCCTACACCACCACATGAAGGCTTAGCAGTGCTTTAAGTCAGACCTTAATAAATGATGACTGGAAATGTAGAATCCGTGAGGAAGAATTCAGTGCTTAGGAGTGTTTTGGCATCTGGTAGACAGTTGTTTGTTGGAGTTGCCACTTACTAGCTCACTGGCCTTTATCAAAGTGCTTTACTATTCTGTTTCTTCTGCTGTAGAAATCCCTATGTGATCTCCTATTGTGATGACTGGCAGTGTCTCACTGTGCTGAATCAAGAAGACTGAGTATATAGGTCCAAATCATGGTTATGGAGATGTTAGGATAGAAGAAAGCAGTATGGACATGATAGAAAGAGGATTGAGAACACATTTCTATGTGATCCATTTTTGCTTTGCCTTCTGTCTAAGTCTGCCAATTCCTAATCTTTAGGACTCACCTCAAAATCTCTTGAAGCCACTTTTTGGGAGATGTGTAAAATGTGTGTGAAGGGAGAGAGGCTCAAGAGCAGAAAGCGTAGGTGAGAGGGTAAGAGACATTTAGTCATCCGGCAGTTCCTTACTGAATGCCTGCTGTGTGTTAGGAAACGGGAATACGTGAAGCTTGTGGTCCAGTTTTGAAAGATAAGCTGTAAACAAATATGAGCATGTTGTGTATTGAAGGATGGTAATGAATAAACCTGTAAAGGGGGTAAAAAGAGCTGGGGGAAGGAGGTGACTTTCAGCTTGAAGTAGGGTCATCAGGGAAGGCCTCATTGAAAAGGTAGTATTTGAATAGAGGCTTGAAAGAGGTGGGGAAGCCAGCCATATGGAAATCCGGGAAAAGGGGAACCAAGAACAGATACTGGAAGTCATTAAAAGGACTTTGACGTTTCCTTGGGATGAGATGGAAACCCATTGTAGAGTTTTGAGCAGAAAAGTGACATTATCTGACTTATTTCTTAAACTAATTTCTCAGGCTACAGTATAGAGAATGGATAGTAGAGGGACAGTGGTGCAATCAGGGACTGGTTAAAGATTTTTTGAGTAATTGAAGCAGGAGAAGATGGTGACTTGGACGAGGGTGGTAATAGGAGAGGTGATAGTATTCAGAATCTGGATCTGTTTTGAAGGTAGATCCTTCCAGATTTATTGGTCTTTTGACTGTAGGGAGTGAGGTAGTGAGAGGAATTAAGGATGACCACACAGTTTTTAGGCTGAGCAGCTGGAAGGGCAGAGATGCCGTTTACTATTTATCAGGATGAGGAAGATTACAGGAGGAGCAGGTTTTAGGGAGAGATCAGTGAAGGTGTGAGCAAGATGAGATTCCTTTTAGGTATCCAAAGGTAATGTAGACAGAAGACAGTGGATAAACAATAATAATTATTTAAACATTCATTTTATACAGGTTGATAAATTATAAAAGTTCTATTTAAATGATTTAAATCTCTATGAAGATGTTGCTATAATTCACATTTTATACATTAGGAAATAATGCAGAAGGATTAATATTCCTAAGATCACTGATATGAAACTTTGTTTTATGACTAAGTTCCAGGTTGTTCTACTAACTTTATTTTAAATAGACATATAAGGGAATTTTCATTATTGCCGTAATTGATTGAACAAGTAATACTTCTAGATGCCTTTACATTACACATGCATATACATACTCGCTCTGTCATAGAAAAGTATAGGTATTGTCTTTGAGGTCTTTGAGGCCTATGTAGGGAGATAGTTTTTTTTTTTTTTTAAACCCTTTGGTATATTGAAAACATACTATAATGTAGGCTTTAATTTTTGATATGGGTTTTAAAATTATTCAAATGGTGAATGGAGATGGCTATGAATATAATTATTTTTTAAAAGCATATTCTTAAACATTTTTCTTTCGAAAATGGCTTACTTCATGGTAATTTATGCTCTCTTCAGTTGTTTAAAGGGGAAATATATTTGCATACTCTTAAGTGTATTCTTTTTTATAGTAAAATGTATCATGTTTATTTTTTGAAACACAAACACAAATAATGGAAACACATGTGATTGTCTGAGTTTTGACATTGTTCTAGGTAGGATGATAAACTGTACAATCCAAATAGGAAAACAGAAATTAAAACCTATCAAAAGTTTCTACTCTGTTGCTTAAAAGTTTATGTACTGTTTATAATTTTTATTCAATAAAGTGATGGAATGTTACTTTATCTTATAAAATCCTGAGACACCTAAATTTTATGTAGTCTAATGAGTTAAATGATCAGGAGAATATTAATATAGTTCTTTTAAATAAAGTAATAAGTACATATCCTTAAAGGTCATATGTAATTTTGTGGAATATGACTATTTAGTTTCTATAACCTTGGATTTTTAAAAATTACAATTTGTGATTCATCTATGTAAACAGCAAACTCTTTCTGATTATACAGGAAGCCCTTCATGTTGCAGGAGTGGAAATGCAGTTAACAGCTGCAGTGTCATTTTTGACCATTCTGCAGGATGAATCAGTGTCAATTCATGCATATACCCACTCGTTCCTCCAAGTCATTCTCCTGCATCTGGAGCACAGGGACACAGGTCAGGGGCGTGGAATGCTTAATTATATACTTGTTTATTGTTTTTTGTATATGGCCATGATATTCCATAAATCCTGTTAGGCTGATGAGGATAACTGATTAAGACCGTGCTGCCTGGGAGTTGAGCAGTGGAATGACTAAAAATAGCTATGGCTATCTTATAAAACCCGCAAAATTTAATCTCCTTGAAAGCTGAAGCCCCATTAATTGATCTTATGATTTATACTTTCTTCTTAGTTTTTTTCCTTTTCAAGCAGTCATGTTTATAGTATTGTACAACAAAACAGCAAACCTTGCGTTAAAGATATCTCACCAGTACTATTTTTAAAAATATAAATTTTTTTTAGATGTTGGCTGAAACAAAATAATAGAGAAACTTTTTAGAATAGTCATGAAAATAATTATTTCCATTTTATCATTAAGTGCTATTGCAACTATTAATGGCTGAGTTGAAACTGAATTTGAAGTGAGACGTTTAATTTAGCATGTTTTATCTGTGCCAACCAGGTGTCAGCAATGCATGGCTGGAAACGCTTCTGTCTGTTATAGAAGTATTGCCAAAAGAAACCCTACGGCATGAGGTAATACTTTTGTGGGGAAGAAAATCACTCTAAGCGTTTTTTTAAAGGTTTATTGTCAAAAATGTTTTTTTTTTTTTAAAAAAAGAAAGTTGTTTTTCATTTTGAATGTGACGTGCACATTGTAGAAAATGCGAGTAACATAAAAAATAGAAGGAAGAGAAAAGAATTCATAGTTCTGCACTTGTCCACTTTTAAGATCCTGATGTATTTCCTTTCAGATTTTTTTCCTATATATGGTTGCTTCTTGCCATACTGGTGATCATATTTAATTTAAATATGATTGTTTTTCACTTGCATTATTTTCCTATATTATTTTAAACTCATTTTATAGTAGCTGCAGAATATTTTACTTACTTGTTAAACATTTAAGCCTGTTTTCAAGCTTATATTTTACTATTGAATAGGGCATTATTCAACATTTCTGTAGCGTTCTTCCTGTTTTTCAGATAATTTCTTTAATTGTAGCTTTCAAAAAGGAATTAATGGATCAGAGGGCATTAATATTCTTAAGCTTTCGACTAATAATATGTAAAGACCTCTTTTCCTGGACTTTTATCAGCAATAGTGTTTCTATTTCATTTAATGGGCCAAAAATGGAATTACATTTTAATTGGAATTTTTAAATTATTATGCTGTTGAATATTTTCTCATATTTTTTATCAGTTTCTGTTTATTCCTTTGCAATCATTTGATCCCATCCTTTAATCACGATTTATATGTGCTGTTTACCTTTATGGTTGCCAATTCTTTGTTATACTTACAAATATTATTCCCAATATGTTTGCCTATTAATTTTCAACATTGAACAGCATACCCTTCTCTAAAGGTTTTAAATAAATTAAAATGAGAGAAGAAGAAAAATGGAAAGGAAGTGTATCCTCTAATGAAAGATGTTGTATTCTTTGAACATTATTCCTGTATATATTTCTTTCCAAATATCGTGATTGAAAAAAAGCGTTATCAGCCAGTGAGATGTCCTCTACTGACTTCATTAAGTTTCTTTGTCCTTTCTTTGTCTTCATACAGTTTATGGTTCTCTCACAATGCTTAAATACTGGCTTGAAAATGGGAAGATTTTCTAGTTACAAGGATGTTTGCATACTTGATGCCAAACATCTGGATGATTATACATATTTAAATGTTGAACATAATATAGACATGTGATTTTTATATTTTTTGAAAAGCAATATGCTGTATAATGCAGTTTTTACTTTAGAATACCATATTATTTAACATGTGGTTTCAAAGATTTTAAATATGTGACTTATTCTAAACTTTTCACTTCTAAATTATCAATACATATTTAGTAATTCCAGCTACTTTGAGAGGAAACAAGCCAATTGACTATTTTATGAGTCATATAATTTTAGAAATAAAAGATATCTTAGTAGGACATAGTCTAATTTCTATTTTAAATAGCTGAGAAATTGGAGATTAGAAATAGCAAGATGATTTGGAGGAACTAAAGACCTGGGACTGTAATCTCAGGGTCTGATCTTCATTTTTACAGTCTGTCGGGCTGTTGGAGTATTTGAGTGCCCAGTATATACATAATGCAGGATCAGACTTGGCTTATTGTATTCAAAGACAGAATTATTTAATAGGATTTATTTGAAGCTATAATGTTTTTCATCCCATTAGGATAAATATAAAAATCTATATAAAATAAAAATACATTTCAAGGTATTCAGTCATTAATTTTCTTTTTTCTTTTTATAATACATATTTCAAAATTATAATTTTATCTGTGCATAGAGAGCATTGTAAAATAACCATAAACTTTAACTCAGTTTTTTTCTAATTGTTTCAATTACATAATTTGTCATTATATTTACCTTAATAACTCAGAAGACAAATAAGATGATCCAAGTTATTGAGTCTTAAACCTCAAATTATAATTCAGGTCCTTTAAAAACAGAACATTAAAATACTCTGAAGGAAGTAGCTGACATGAGTGGCAAGAGTGTATAAAATTTTGTGAATTTTTTTCTAAATTTTCTTTTCAGATTTTGAATCCACTTGTTTCCAAGGCACAACTTTCCCAAACAGTCCAGTCTCGTTTAGTTAGTTGTAAAATTTTAGGAAAATTGACCAACAAATTTGATGCCCACACGTGAGTATTTGTATGTAATTTTTGGCCTACTTTATTACATTGATTTAAAATGTATAATGACTGTATAACAATAGTGTTATTTCATACTGTATACAAATTTAGTTATCTTAACTACATTATTTTAACTTTATAGAATTTTCATGACAGAATTTACTTTTTCAGAGGCTTTTCTTCTCAATCTCATGACTTTTCAAAATTGATATGTTTTTTCTTACTTTCTTAGTCTTCCCTATCTCATACCAAATGTAGTTTTGAGGGAAAAAATAGTATTATCTTATTGACTTTTGAAATTGGCAAACAGCGTAAAGATAGAATTTCTGCTTTTTTGCACTGTTGTTATGAATTTGTTATTTTGAATAATTTAACTTATTTTGAGGTTTATGGAACATGTTTATAATTTATATGCTCCTTGCCCACTTATTAAATACTAAATGGAAAGAATGGAATGTTGTATAATTGTAATAGAAGTAAAGGTGAAGAATATTTTGATTGATGGTTGCCAGATTCAGATATTCTACTGCTACAGCCTTTTATCTCAGCTATAGACGTTTCAACCAATCCAAAGTTAACCATTATTTTAAAAAGACTCTGTGATATACATAATTTACAAGTGGCTAATATCCAAATTTAATAACATATGTAAATACATTGTAAACGATTATTTTTTTCTATTAAAGTACATTTGTTATTATTAAGGTGAATTAAGATTTTAATGATAATTATTTAAGAATATTATTCTGAAATATTCATTTGCATGTTTCTTTTCTCCCCACTCTCAGCATTAAACGAGAAATACTTCCTCTGGTAAAATCACTCTGTCAAGATGTAGAATATGAAGTTCGATCTTGTATGTGTCGGCAATTAGAAAATATAGCTCAGGGTATTGGGTAGGTATACTTTGAACTCCTATGCTATTTCCATGAAAGCATGCCATTGAAAGGCTATATTTTATATGATCGTGAAAAATGATCATAACAGGTACATCTTCTATGTCTGGATTAAAAGAGATAAAGAGTAATGTGCTTGCATGGTGATAGGCATTTGATTAATGTTAATTTCTTTTCTTCTCACCTTAGTTGCTTAGTTATCATTCCAGACACCTAGATTCAGGAAAGAAAAGATATCCCAGTATAAACCATACTTGGAATATGATTGTAGCATTTCTTTTGACTGACAATTCTTTGACTATATTATTGGGTCATTTCAGATGGGATTGCAGTTATTCCTCTATATCCTTGGGGGATTGGTTCCAGGACCTCTTTTGGATACCAAAATATGAGGATGCTCAAGCCTCTGATATAAAAGAGTGTAGTTTTTCCGTATGATTTGCTTATATCCTTCCACATGTTTAAAATCATCTGTAGACATTAATACCTAATACAATATAAATGCTATGTAAATAGTTATGCTGTATTGTTTAGGGAATAATGACAAGAAAAAATCTGTATGTTCAGTAAAGAAGAATTTTTTTTTTCTGAATCTTTTCTATTAACGATTGGTTAAATCCACAAATGCGGAACCTGCAGAAGTGGAGGGCTAACTACACTCTAATGGAAGCCTTTCTGTATCTCCTGTGCAGCTTGAGGCTTCCAGTGTTTGTTTTGTTGCTCTCCTTGCTCTATGGGTGCATGAAGCTCCAGGAGAGGCATAGCTGCCAATCTCCTCAGCCATAAAAATTGATCTCATTTCAATCTTATAAGTATGATATTAAAGGGAGTCTTCTCTAAAAACTATCTTGGGAAATCTTTTCTTTTAAAAAGAAGATTCAAAATTGGCACAAAAACTATTGGAACCTCTCATTTTTAGCATAAGTTGCACTGATTTCATCTGGTTCTTTGTTTCACAAGCTAGGACAATCAGATTGTGGTCGTTTGTACCTTTGTAAGTTTTTTAAAAATTTGGGCCAATGTTTAAGGCTCTGAAAAGGCTCTAGAATGTCACACAGGGTATGGTAGAATGTCACACAGGCTATGGTAGATTGTCACACAGGGTATGGTGGTATAATCTGTCCCATTTCCACTCTTGCTAAATAGTATTTAAGTGTTATGTTGGAAGTTTAACACAATTAATGAAAGAGTTATTTGTTATGATTATTTTCATTTTTAATGCCCAGGGATAATCGAGTTGAATTTACATCACTATAACATGTTTTTGAAAAAGGAGAACTCTGTTTAAAGATTGAATGAAAATAACTTTTACAATAGAGATGAAATTATTTATCTTAAACTATTTTCTTTTGTTGTTAATAAATTCAAGGATTTCAGGAGGTATACAAATATAGTCTGAGCAAAATTTATATGAAATAAACTTTTATGACCTTTGGATATGTTCTGTCATATTTTACTCTCTTACCTCCTCTATCTGCATCCTGTGTTTGCTGAATGTTTGTGAACTACTGGTAATGTTAACATCTGTATCTATATAATCTAGATCAATCTCTTAGAAACATTTTTTTTTTTTTTTTGCTGTTCAATTGGTCAAGCCCTTGTCTTTGTGCTGTGCTGTCTAATATGGTAGCCCCTAGTCACAAGTGACTATTTAAGTTTAAAATAAGGAAAATTAAATCTTTAGTTCCTCATTCATAATAAACTTATTTTAAAAAATGCTCAATAGCCACATGTGGCTACACGATTGAAGAGTCAGTGATAAACATTTCCATCATTGCAGAAAGTTTTACTTGACAGCATTGTCTTAGAGTGTTTGAACTTTGCTCTGAATTTTTAAAAAATTTTCTATAGCTCTTAATAACTTTCTTGAACTCTTATCAACATCTTCTGTCAATGATGATTGATGCCATTTTCCATCTTGTACCCAAGAAAGCTAACCACATAATAAGACTCTCCTTTATCAGAGTGTTTGTCATTACACTTATTACATAATATTACAATTATTATTACATAATAAGTGACACCTTATGAGGAATAAGCAGAAACAAACTGTTGAATAATAACTATTTGTGATTGTATTATAAATATTATATACTCCCTAAAAGCATTTATATTGTGTTTCATTCTTTTAGGTATACCATCTAGAGTCATAGATCATCATGTATACAGAAATTAGTTACTGTAATGTCATGTATTAGGTGAATGAAAAAGTAATTTATACCCTGAAATCTAGATAAAATTATATTATTTGGGTTTCTGCAGTTAGTACTAAGTTTTTCTAAGTAGTCCAGATAATTTGCTGGAGTTGCGTAAAATGGAAAACTATGTTATAATTTATAAAGTTTAATATAAACTCCTAGTTACTAAGATCTCTGTAGGTAACAATATTATGCTGGGGATAGTGGGATTGATTTAAATCATTATGAAATTACTATTAATGTTTCTTATGTGTATGGTATGCTTTCTCAATAAGACTGAAAGCTACTGGAGAGCAGGAACAGTGTCTTTATGATTTTTCGTATTTTCTGCAGCAAATAGCCCAGTCACTGGTTTTTAGTAAGTTCTTGCTACACATTTATTGATTTGATTTATTTTCTTTTATTGCTTATTGTGCAGGACAGAACTTACAAAAAGTGTGGTGCTCCCTGAATTAATAGAACTTTCTAGGGATGAAGGCAGCAGTGTACGACTTGCAGCTTTTGAAACTTTGGTTAATCTCCTTGACATATTTGATACAGGTAAATCATGTGAATACATATTTGCTTCTGAAAACAGTGTTTTTCCATATGTTTTATATCCCTAATAAGGAATAAAAGTCAATATAGAATTTTTTATGTTAAGTTTCATGTTAAACCTCCCTTCCTCCCTCTCTTTTTATGATTCATTCTGTTTTGGTGTCTTCGTGGTTTTCACTTTTACCCTGATGGTGTCGTAGTCCATTTTGTGTTGCTATAACAGAATACTTGAGACTGGGTAATTTATAAAGGAATTTATTTTGGCTCACATTTAAAAAAATTATTTATTATGCTTTAAGTTCTGGGGTACATGTGCATAACATGCAGGCTTGCTACATTTGTATACACGTGCCATGGAGGTTTGCTGCATCCATCACCCCATCATCTATATTAGTTATTTCTCCTAATGCTACCCCTCCCCAATCCCCCTATCCCCTGCTATCTCTCCCCTAGCCCCCCACTCCCAGTCAGGTCCTGGGGTGTGATGTTTCCCTCCATGTGTCCATGTGTTCTCTTTGTTCAACACCCACTTATGAGTGAGAACAGGTCCCTGCAAAGGACATGAACTCATCCTTTTTAAGGCAGCATAGTATTCCATGGTGTATATGTGCCACATTTTCTTTATCCAGTCTATCACTGATAGACACTTGGGTTGGTTCCAAGTCTCTGCTGTTGTGAACAATGCCACAGTAAACATACATGTACATGTGTCTTTATAATAGAATGGTTTATAATCCTTTGAGTATATACCCAGTAATGGGATTGCTGAGTCGAATGATATTTCTATTTCTATATCCTTGAGGAATTGCCACACTGCCTTCCACAATGGTTGAACTAATTTACACTCTCACCAACAGTGTAAAAGTGTTTCTATTTCTCCACATCATCTCCAGCATCTGTTGTCTCCAGATTTTTTAATGATCACCATTCTAACTGGCGTGAGATGGTATCTCATTGTGGTTTTGATTTGCATTTCTCTAATGACCAGTGATGATGAGGTTTTTATTATATGTATGTTGGCTGCATAAATGTCTTCTCAGGCTGGGAAGTTCAAGATTAGGTGGCTCCATCTGTCCTGTTTCTGATGAGGGCCTCATGATGCCTCATAATGTGGCAGAGAAATGGAAGGGGAAGCAGGCCTGAAAAAGGGAGAGGGGACAAAGGAGGCTTACCTGCTTTATAACAACCTGCTCTCCAGAGAGCTAACCCAGTCCCACGAGAGCTAATCTAGTCCCTTGTGAAGGAGAGCTCACTTAATACCACAGGAACTTCATCAGTCAACCCATGAGGGTGGAGCTAGTGGGTGGACCCATGCGGCCCCACCTCTTAAATATTCCACCTTCCAATATTGTTGCACTGGAGCCAAACCTTGACAGGCATTTTGGCAGGGACAGACCATATTAAAACCATACTACATAGCATACAGTGTTGTTACATATTCCATCTCTCTTTTCACCCATCAAAACTTAACTGACTTGTGTGTGTATAGGGTTAAGAATTTAGCCTTATCTTTTTCACCTAATTGACATGAAGGCAGATCCTGAGCTATGGTCTACATGAGTTTCCTCTCCTTAATAACATTTTAATAATAGAAATGTTATGGCCATTGGGGGAGAAATTTGGGATGGGTGTTTGAGTGGGAGAGGGTAAAGAGATATTCCTTATTGTTATGCAAATCATGTCACAGAGTAGAGTAACTGCTCTACTCAATGTATGACTAGACTCTTGACTAATGCTGTCATTAGTTATCAGTAAACATTAACCATTTTGAGAAAGTGAAATTTGGAGGGGTAAATGTCAAGTGCTTAGGTGCAGAATTCAATTGTGTAATCTTAATATTACATTTACATGGATTATCAACATTTTATCTGAACTAGATCTAGGAAGCCTCTTAAAGATTATTGCAATGTGGACGATAATTGTATTTGGGTTTTGGAGAACAGTCATTTACACAATATGACAAACCAGAGGAGTAAAACTGCAATACATGATAAGTGAATGAATAAATCTTTTTTCCTCTAATAATGGGGCATCCCCAATCTCCAAACTAGAACCTTGCCATCATTTTTGATCTTTTCCCTTTTACTGCCCACACCTATTTATCACAGAGCTGGATCTCACCTGTGTTTGTGGCTTTATTTCTTACCATTCTTTCCCACTCCTCTTGTGTCTGATGCTTCAGTCCCACTTGCTTAGCATACCAGATTCTTTCATGCCTCTAGTCTTTTCTCATACTTTTTCTTTCTCTATTCTTTCCTTCCCTCTAATTTTCTCCTAGCCGTCTTCTGCTCCCTTAGTTCCCAGTTCAACTAAAATTTCCTCCCTGACGTTTTTCTAAATCTCTTACACCAGGCATTGGCAAACTATGGCCTTTAGACCAAATTTGGCCTGTTCCCTGTTTTTTTGAATAAAGTTTATTGGAACAGAGCCATACTTGTTTGTTCACATATTGTCTGTGGCTGTTTTTGTGATATAAGAACAGCGCTAAGTAGTTGGGACAGGGCCTGCAAAACCTAGAACAAATATAAAAAAAGTTTATAGATCCCTGCCTTATACCATCTATTAAGACAGTGATCATACCGTCTTATATTTTTTGTGTTTGGCTTTTCTGCTGGTTTACATTTCTCAAAATCAGAGATCATTTATTATTCATATTTCTACTCCCACTTAGTAACAGTGCTTGTTCTGTAAGAAATACAATGTGTTGAATGAATATCATTTAACAAAAATAGTAGATAGGTGCTGAAATGTAATGATAAAAGTAATAGTAATAATACTCATAAGGCTGTTACAGCATTTTACTTTGTATTTCCAGACAATAAGTGATTCATTTCTGAAATTTAAGAACACTTTAAGAAATTTGGAGAGAATTTAGAATTGAGACTTAAATAGTGCCAATATGTCAGATACTTGTAACCTAAGCAGATGTATTCAAAGAATCAATCAACTTTTTAAAGAAGAGTCAGCTAAGAAGTAAAAGTGATGAAATTCAATATATAGAACATATTATAAGCTAATGTAGTTTTAGTAAAAAATGATAAAATGGGCTGCATCATGGTCTGAGATGTATGTAAAAGAAAATAAGAAAAGCTTTTTTTGCTTACTATTTATTTATGCTAATGGTGTTAGAATTCTTTTACTTATTCAGACTCAAATCCTCAATCATCTTAGCTTTTTTTTTTTAGTTTTTAAATGTTGAACCAAACTTGGGTTCCTGAGGTAAACTTCAATTGATCGTGATAGAGTATTCTTTTTAAGTATTTCTTTTTTTCTTTTTTCCCATTTATTTATTTTATTGCATTTTAGGTTTTGGGGTACATGTGAAGAACATGCAAAATTGTTGCATAGGTACACACGTGGCAATGTGATTTGCTGCCTTCCTCCCCATCTCCTACATCTGGCATTTCTCTCCTTGCTATCTCTCCCCAGCTCCCCATCCCCCACCGTCCCTCCCCTATTTCCCCCCAACTGACCCCAGTGTGTAGTGCTCCCCTCTCTGTGTCCATGTGTTCTCATTGTTCAACATCTTATCTTTTTAATTCATAATCACTCTTTCTTTTCTGTTCCCAATGGCCTGCAGTATGAAGTCCAAACCCCTTAACCTGACATTAAAGTTTTAGATCATTTCAAGCTTCCTCTTAACCCTTTTTCACCACCCACCTCCATCATCATTGCTTTCAGGTATTTTCAATTACTATGAACTAGGCTAACATAGTAATTTTTTTTTCTGGAATATGTGTGTGTATTAGTTTCCACATGTGCAGTGTGGGCATCTGAATTAAAGTATGTATTATTTTGTTTTGTTTTCCAGATGACAGAAGTCAAACTATACTTCCATTAGTGAAATCATTTTGTGAAAAATCTTTCAAAGCAGATGAATCAATTCTTATTTCTTTATCTTTCCATTTAGGAAAACTATGTCATGGACTATATGGTATGATATATTCTAAGAATTTCAAGACTGTAGATAATTTTTCCCTTTTTTTCTATCTTAGTCATTAAACTTTGGCTCTTCAGTTAATTGCAAAGCCTACTTTTTAAGTACATAAAAATCTTATGAGATCTTAGAATTTTGATAGCATCATTTAGAACACATTTAGGAATGACTTTTTCACCAATAGAACCTATTTGAAAAAACAATGACAATAAAGTAAGCATAGCTCATTAAATATCTGAATACTTATATATTATTTGGTATGTGATAATAGAAGCTCAGGCTTATTAACTATTGGTACATAGTAAGTATACACTTATTAATCATTTATTGAATAATTTGTATCATGTGAGAAGTTCAGCTTGGGATGTGGAATAATACCATAACTCTTGGCATTTTGAACTCATTACTTAGTTCTTAGCTTTCTATATCAATGGGAGATAGACTGTGTAGTAATGAACTCATAATAATACATTATCAGTTTCTAGCTTCTTGAGATAGTTAATGACTGTGGAACCATTCCATTGATTAAATATATTTTGAGTCTACTTTGCTGTCTTTCAGATTCAATTTTTAAGCTCCATTCCTGCAAAGAGAGAGAGAGAGAGAAATACACACACACACCCCTTTTCTGCCAGCAATTGTAGAACATCTATTGTAAGAAAATGGCAGTTATTTAAATAGTCACAATATTGTTATTATTAGTGACTTTTTAGTGGCCTACAGTATGGTACATGCTGCGGCAATTAATGCAGGCATAGTTCTGCATTATATAAGTTATGCTTTTGAAATTTAAAATATTACTAGAATTAACATGAGGTAAAATAATGTGACCTGTTAGATTCCTAACAGTTACTTTTTTCATGTTTCTTTTATTTATGAACTATCTGCAACCACTTATTTAAGTATTTTGCTCCTATTATATTTTTATTGTACTTTGATTTTCCCTTTTAAAATTTTGCTTTTAATTGAAATGTTGAGCATAGGTTTTTGAATTTGTTTTAGGAATTTTTACTCCAGATCAGCACTTGAGATTTTTGGAATTTTATAAGAAACTTTGCACATTGGGTTTGCAACAAGAAAATGGACACAGTGAGAACCAGATTCCACCCCAAATCCTAGAGCAGGAGAAGAAATATATTTCAGTACGGAAGAACTGTGCTTATAACTTTCCGGTAATAAATATATATTTATATTTATTGAGGATTTTTATTATAACTTTAAAATATGTGAATGGATGTCAAAATATTGCCATATTTGATACTTGCTGCTTAGCATTATGTCTAATACATACAGAATATTACAACATAGTACACACAGATTAAATATTTGTGAAATTTATATCTTTGTGGACAAATCAGAATGATATACACATATTTGGATCTTCCAAATATGGTTTCTAATTAAATTATAATTCAGAGATCATGATTTCAATTTAAATGAAACAATTATAATATTAGGTATTGATGCATGTTTTTTTTTCCTTCCCACTCATCTCCTCCCTTCCACCTCCACCAGGCCATGATTGTTTTTGTTGATCCTAAAAACTTCCACTTGGAACTCTATTCTACATTCTTCTGCCTTTGTCATGACCCTGAAGTACCAGTCAGATACACTATTGCTATTTGCTTTTATGAAGTAAGTCTGAAGACTTGATATCACTTTACATTTGTTGTTAATTCTACCTATGTATTGGATGATTTTTTTGATATTTTGTACACTTGTACTTATAGATGATAAGATACAGACTGCATATCTCTTTTATGTTCTCGTCTTAAATCTTGTTTAAAAATTTCCATAATTCTTTTACAGAATCCATTTCCATAAATACATTATATTTATGTATTCTTTTATGAATCCATTTATTCACCATATCTATACCAAGTGCTTTACTTTAAGCCAGACATTTTGGTAGATATGGGTGATGCAAATTTTGAAGTAAAAGCAGTTTTCATATGCTTTATAATATTTACAGTTAACTTTGCACCTAAACTTAAGTGCTTGAGAACCAATAGAAAGTTGAGATACATTAATTATTTTTTACTACAAATGGATGGTGTTTCATGAGCGTGGCTTTCAGATTCTGCTATTATGACTCTCCACAAAGTAAGAGCAAAAGTAAATTTAAACTTTTATGATGAATGTAACTAACATTTTAATCCTTGAAGTTGAAATTGGGGGCATGTTTCTTGAATGATAGCAAGAAGTGAACCTAAGCCATGGTTGCAGTAAATATGGGTAAGCTATAACTTTCAACTTCTAAACTGACACATTAAAAACCTCTGGATAAGTGGTATATTAAGATATTTCCTTTCTTTATTAAGTGGTATAATAAGTTCTTATTCTTAGTGAGAATATTTCACCTCCTTCCTTGCACTGTGTTCCTGTGTCAGAACACTTTGATTAGCTGCAACTGTGCAGGATATCCATCCATAGCATCATTACAAATGTTGCTTAGATTATTTTTTGGCTATTGGGTGATAGTTTTGCTTTTTAAAAAGAACATTTTTTCTGGTATGAATGAAAAATATATGCATTGTACAAAATCTTGGACATCTTCCCTTTAAAGTATAATTAGTTAAAATAATTTCAGTGCACAATTATATCATCTTTGTAAAATACACCTGTAGAACACTGCTTTTGGAGGAGAGGGGAGAGGGCAGAGAGCACTGGTTGGCTGAGCAGAATATTCATCTCCAAGATGCATTAAATGATCATTTAGGCTTGGTTACCATGTCCACATGTACTTGTTAGATCATTGGTCTCCAGAGACGGTTGTACAAGATTGGAGTCTGAGAATGTAGTATTTATACAATTTTAGTCTATTTATGTTTGTTTTTCTCATCACTTTAATATTTAATTTTGTTTATGTTTTATAGTGGACATGATATAGCACCATATAATTAAACATGGAAATATACATGTGTATACAAAAATGTTTCACTGGTGGAAGTGAGTTTGATAATCATTGATTGGGTGGCTAGTTTCCATATTCTACAACAATCATACCATCTAGATAGGGTAAGAATGGTGTGTCCCTCCATGAAATGAAGGGCTAGTGTAAGTTTTTATTTTAAGTAATGAAAATCCACTGGCTGATTTAAATTTTTCTAACAGTGTTAATGCTAGATTCTGATAATTGCTTTACTATATTCTTTGTTCTTGTTTTTCAGAATAATAATATTTTGGAAATATTTTCAAGTCAAAAACAATCCTGTTAGAGCAAAAAATTTTAAAGCCCTTTCTTTATCCAGGGACCATTTTTTTTTTTTTCAAATAAAACTTTACTCAAGCCGAGTGTGTTTTAAAAAGAATAAGGTGAAGTAGAAACTGGTAAATTCAACATTGTGGGCTCTGAGTTTATCTAGAGAAAAAAAACTACTGTCTACAAGGGGAACTGTACTATTCTGGACTCTCCTGACTCCTCTCATGCTGATTAAAGTATTTGATGGGGAAAGGGAAAGTTGGTTTGCTTTCTTAGGAGTTACTGCTACCCCAGTATCATTGTAGGCCTTCAGTATGAAGTTACTCTCTGGGAAGTTCTGAACTGGTATGGATACTTGTATGCCTAGAATATCCTTTAAGACCCTGTTGGCTGCTCTAAGACTTTAAAATGTGAACTAGAGGCCCCTGTGGGTTTCTTATTACCATTGATGTGAAAGTTATGACTCTGGTAAATCGCATTCTTTTGTATTTCCTCACCCTATGTATGCTCATATGTCCACACATTTCAGTATGTTACGAGGCAGACTAGAAAGCTGGTTATATTTGCACCACTAATTTTTATAGAAACTGATTTTATATTTGTGTTATAACATGGCTTTATTTTAGAAGGAATATATAACAAGGATGTATTTTTTAAAAAATTACTATTGTAACATCTATGTGTCTAGTAGTCTCAATCTGAGAGACTTTATTGCTATATTTTAGGTGTCTAAACTTCTGAATTCTGGAGTATATTTAATACATAAAGAACTAATAACATTATTACAAGATGAATCACTGGAGGTAATATTTTCTTACTCTTTGGTTCTTAATTCTTTTATGTTTGGTCCAAATATACTGATGCCTTTTCTTCCCTACTTCTTGGAATTATGTGAACTCTTTCAGCTGGCTAGCCCCAGAAGCTTCAAACTGATGTACCACTGTGTCATAAACTGGATATTGGGAAGATCTTTAAAAAAAATTAGGTTTTAAAATATATTCAGTTTTAAAACTTAGTATATATGTATTTGTTTATTAAGAAAAGTTTAGGAAGTGCCAAAAAAAAAAAAAAAAAAAAAAAAAACCAGGCAAAAGAATATCTTTAATTCCAATTACTGTTACATTATTTTTTTTCTTTTTTAATATAAATCTTCTTTTCTATATAAAGGTTTTTATTTTACTCAATTATAATCATATATCACATTTTAATAACTTTTTTTCTCTTGCCATTGTTTGGGTAGTATTTTACCCCTTAGTATGTACTTATGAAGACTTTGAAATACTTTATTTTGATGCTGTATTTAGATAGTCCCTTCAACTAAATGACTGTTAATTTACCAAAGCTCAACTCATGAATATTTTGATATCATTGAGAATATTATCCGATTTAAACCACCTGTCAAAAGTTTGGAGACAGTTTTTGAACATGTTAGTTTTGTAGAAGCAGCTATCTCAGATTTAGACTATTTGAACAATGTCAAGAGGCAGGTACACTAATCTCTTTTCAAAGGTTGGCCAAGGCAGTTGATCATGTTTCTAAGACTTTTCAGCACAAAGATGACAGAGTAAGAAAATAGAAATCCCCAAAATGTTTGGGAAAAAAACACACTATTAGTGTATAGAAACTGACGTGTGGAATTAGCTAATCTAGAAAAAACATAGTAATCACTATAACAGTAATCAATATCTCTGTTAAAAGGTACTAGATGCTCTTATAGATCATCTTCCAGAAATCTTGGAACTTATGTCTACTGGTGGAGAAAGCAGTGTTCAAGAAAATAAGGTAAATTTCATCTTTCAGAAACATTCTAAGCTTTGTAAATATTATCCTATTCTACAGGGTGTTGTGAGGTGTCAATGAAGGAATGTTTGGAAAACATGTAAAGTAGTGCAAACCACATAGCAGTTGGTCAGTAAAAGTCTGTTAGAGTTTGAACAGCTTGAATTTCCTTTGTCTTTCTTACATTAATAATTTTAAATTACTGTGATTGTTATTTATTGTATTTGGAGTTTCGGTTTATATTTTCATTTTTCATTAGCATTAATGATTATTCTAAGAATAGCAAATAATGAGGACAAGAGGGTAGAAATTTATTCTTTATTATTATTTTTTAACCTAAGAAAAGGGTAGGAGTTTAGGAGGTCAAAGCCTGTTGACAGTAATGATATGTAATACATTGTACTGTAGCTAGAAGAACTGCTATAATCTGACAGGAAGAATGAGTTGTAGTTTTTATTTCAAAATTTGGTTCCCAGGAATCATACATTTTACTTAAGTATTTCTTTTAAAAGTATTTGATTTAGTCAGATAATTTTCTCCTTGTGACAGCTAAGATGTCTCCTAAACTCTGAAATGAGCAGGCATATTCCCCTCCCCAATGTATTATAAGACTGAGTAATTTTACTGAGTGCTGCAATTTATTTATTTATGTGTAATTGATTCTTTTGATCCATTTCATTTTTCAGTTATCTTCTTTGCCTGACTTGATTCCAGCACTCACAGCTGCTGAACAGCGAGCTGCAGCCTCTTTAAAATGGAGAACTCATGAAAAGCTACTTCAGAAATATGCCTGCCTGCCACATGTTATATCAAGTGATCAGATTTATTATCGTTTCTTACAAAGAATGTTCACAATCATGATGACAAATGTGAGCTCAGTACCTTTCATCTTATTCTTTTGAACTCATGGTTGATTCTGGAATTACCACTTTCTTCATATTTTCAAAATAGTGGAACAAACTCAGTTCATTCCATTCTTCCTAGGAGGATGTCACCTTCCCAGGTCCAGAGGAGGGACTTCATGTTTCCCTTTGCTACCCAGCTAGGTTTCCCTCTGAGAATCTTTTCTCGAGCTGGAGAGAGGAATGACCAGGTGGCACTTTCAACTATCCTTTGTTGATATACTGCCAAGAACAGTGTAGACTCACTTCAAACTTGAAATAGTTCTTAAGAGGGTCGTTGACGAGACTTAGTGAATTTAACTGCAAAGGACCTTCTGTTCTGATGTGCACCTCTGATGTATCCACAACCTTAGTGTCTGATCCTAGCTATCTGTTTTGCCAAGGCACCCCTTAAACTTCCTAGTACTAGTTTGGCTACTTTTATAGTAACTAAAGTGTGGCTATGGAACAGAGAAAGCTTATACAAATACATGGATGCACTACTATTGATAACCTTATAATTAGAGTTAACAGAAAAAAAAAGACTCCCTCCTTAAAACAAGGTGGTAGTCAAGCCTCCTCACAAAGTTGTCTACTTTTGTTCACAGAAATTTATGGAGGGATTATTTAACTCATAATTTACTGTGCATTTAATATGAGATCCTATTGCCATTTTTTGAAATATAGAAACATTCCATGGTTTAGCGATCTGGGCACAGAAGGCTTGGGACAAGCCCAGCTGGTCAGGCCTGCCCCTGGGGCAGATGCCAGGTTGGAGGAGTGCAAGCTGGGTGAGCCCCACACCCATCTACTGGGCACACCTACCTGGTTGTATACCAGTGGTACCACTGCCCTGCCCTGCCCTAACTTGCCCTGCCCTGCCCTGACTTGCCCTGCCCTGCCCTGCCCTGACTTGCCCTGCCCAGGGATCTTCTACCCTTGACCCACTGCATTGCCAGACTGCCAGCAGGCATACCCTGCAACCTGTTCTGAGCTGTAATCAGTTCTACTGAAACTATTAAAAAAAATTGAGGAGGAGGGGTTCCTGTTTAATTCTACAAAGCCACCATCACCCTGATACCAAAATCTGGCAAAAACAACACAAAAAAAGAAAATTACGAGTCAGTATTCCCGATGAACATTGACATAAAAATCCTCAAGAAAATACTAGCAAACCAAATCCTTTAGAACATCAAAATGTTAATTCATCACAGTCAAGTGTGCTTCATTCCTGCAATTCAAGGTTAGTTTAATGTAAGCAAATCAATAAATGTTATTCACCACATAAAAAGGATTAAAAGCAAAAATTATATGGTCATTTCATAGTTGCAGAAAAGGCTTTTGGTAAAATCCAACATCTCTTTGTGTTAAAAACCTTCAACAAAGAAGGCATTGAAGGAACATACCTCAAAATAATAAGAGCCATCTATGACAAACCCATAGCCAATATCATACTGATTGGGCAAAAGCTGGAAGCCGTCCCCTTGAGAATTGGAACAAGACAAGGATGCCCACTCACACCACTCCTATTAAACCTAGTATCAGAAGTCCTAGCCAGAGCAGTCAGTCAAAAGAAAGAAATTAAAGGCATCCAGATGGGAAAAGAGGAAGTCAAATGATCACTCTTTGCTGATGATATGATTCTATACCTAGAAAACCCTAAGGATCCTGTCAAAAGGCTCCTAGACCTGATAAACCACTTCAGTAAAGTTTCAGGTTACAAAACCAATGTACAAAAATCAGTAGCATTTCTATACATCAATAATGTTTAAGCTGCGAGCCAAATCAAGAATGCAATCCCAATTATAATAGCCACAAAAAAAAATCCAGTAACACATCTAACCAAGGAGGTGAAAGATCTCTACAAGGGGAACTATAAAACACTGCTGAAAGAAATCATAGATGACATAAACAAATGGAAAAACATTCTGTGCTTATGGATTGGAAGAATCAATATTGTTGAAATGGCCATATTGCCCAAAGCAATTACAGATTCAACACATTCATATCAAACTACCAATGTAATTTTTCACAGAATTAGAAAAATTATTCTAAAATTTATATGGGACCAAAAAAGAGCCTGAATAGCCAGCTCAATCTTCAGCTGCTACTTCAGCTCTCTGAATACCCAGTTTTTCTGTCAGCCTTGTACCTGTTAGTTTTAGAGTCTATTGATTATCCTTGCTTGAATCAGTGATTTCATTATAACTTGCAAAATAATTTTAAAATTCCATCATTTCTTAACACATTTTTGATGGTGGCATTCTGTGAAGAAGTACATTCCTTTGTCCACATTGGTTATTTGATGACCTTGAGCTACATTTACTAATGTAAAGACAGGATGAATTCTTAATATTTTTCCTCTAATTATCAATTTTCAGAGCTAGGATTTGGTGCAGTAGCTATTTTTAATGATGACAAGTGTACTTTGTTTTTAATTTTGACTCTCTTTTAGATAAAGTAATGTCATTGCAGTTATTTTTTGTGCACAAATTGTCACTTCTTCAAGCTGGCTCTTATGTGCTTTTGACCTGATTACATTTATCTTTGACTTTGGGCCCAAAAGAATACCTTACGGCATAAACTATAATATCTATTTTATATGAAATACAAAATGTGCATATTTTCATATGACTAGTATATATGTATTTGAAATTTTATCAGTAAATACAAAATGAAAGAAAAGAATAACATGCTTTTATTTTGTTTACCATTTATTGAAAATTCATTTTCCGTAAGTCCAGTCATGTTTCTGCTTACGTACATTTCTTAAATTTTCTAAATCATAGGGAATACTCTCTTTTTACATTCAACAGATTAAAAACCCCTCTCAATTTGTACCAGATAGAATGTGAATAGCTTGTATAAAATATGAGAGGAGGTAGCAGGTAACACTGTCTCAGCAACGTAGTTTCATTCTATTTGAATTTCAAGGATTCCCACTATAATATTTGGGATCTTTAGTAATTCAACATTATATTTGTATGCAAGTCAAGATAATGAACATGAATTTTTACTGGACACAATATACCTGGTTAAGAGATTTTTCTCTAATGTATGGTTTGAACCCTAACCCAGGAAAGATAAATAGCTGTGTTTATTTAAATTAAGGTTCTGCCTAGTGGTGTGACAGAAATTCAAAGGACAAAGGGACTTGAAATACTGTTAAGAATGATTGAATGGTGTTCTTTGGATTCTAAACTTCATCTATATCATGAAGAGCTAGAATTAAGCCAGAAGAATTGAAGAGCATACCTGATCATGGGATCCCTAAATTTATATTTTAGTAGTGGCATATTTTTGGTGATGTACCTGACACATGGCATGTTATAGCAAATGTTTGTCAGATGAATGAATGACAAAGCCCAGGGAACAGCTAAAAGAATAGGTGACAGGGATGTATTTGATCATTTAAGGTGAGATGGCAAGGAAATGAGAGTCAAATCTGGATGATTTGGACATGACTATGCCAAATTAACTTTGTAATATAATTATTAGTTGATTTGTCTGGTGCTTAACATTAATTTGTGAAGATACTTCCAGAAGGATAGAAGTTCAATTAGTTGAGAGGCAGTGAACGCTTCATTTCCTTTTAGTCAATGACTTAAAATTGATTTGGTGGGGCCAAATTATCTAGAATAGAATTAGCCTAGTGTAACTGTCTGTCTTATTTATTTCTTCAAGAATGTCTTACCTGTCCAAAAGGCAGCCTCACGAACTCTATGCATTTTTCTGCGTTATAATCGAAAACAGGAACAGAGACATGAGGTCATTCAAAAATTAATTGAACGTAAGTAAACATTATCTACTATTTTGAAAAAGGGAAAGTAAACAAACTAGTTGGCTTTAGTTATATTTGACTTATGTATCATTTTGTGGTGAATAATTAGGTTGATATTGGGTTTTATAAGTTGATTTTTATTTTTTAGAAATCCTTATGGCAAGATTAGATCTATGATGAATGAAAGTAATAATTACTCTGTTTTCTTTTGTGCGTTTCTATACTTTAGAAATTAAAATATGTTTACTTATATTGAAAGCCCAGTTTCTACCCTGATGAAATAACATTTGGAACTAAAATATAAATAGACTATCCATGAATCTAATCATTTATTTTATGGTCCTGTTTCAATACTAACATAATTAATTAACATAAAGAATCTGGGATTTTTCCTTGAATACAGTTGATAGTATATTTGAATATGAATTTGATGAGCCTAGTTGGTTTATAATGCCTTAATGAACTAAGTCAGTTTACAAATGCAAATTTATTTTGATTTGGTAAGAGCTAAAATCAAGGCAGAACCCTTTGGTTTATAGTATTGATCCTAGAAATAGTTGCACACACCAATATATACTTAGTAAGTTTGTTAATTATTGTATATTTGCTTTGCTCGTAATGTCTGAATGTTTTTACTAATCTATATTGTCCAGCATAGGCAGGTAATGGGATTTTCTAGCTATTGGAGTTTACCATTTTAAATGTGGATCACTACTTTTCAAAAAATTGGAATATTTTTATAAAATTCCATTTAAGAAAAAGTATGCTCAGCATACTTTAATCTTTCTTTTTATAGTCTTATTTTTATTCAGTTTTCAGTGGTAACACCTCATGTTTAGAATGTTTTATTTTGAAAGAAGATTCAATTTGGTTTTAAATATTAAGAGTTTTATTTTTGAACATTTATGTAAAAAGAAAATTAACCTTTTTAATATTGATCTGAATTATTATCAATAATACTGTTTACATATGACTGTATCTAGCATTTTTAAGGAAACAAAGGGAAGAAAACAGTTAATTTGATTATTAAAACACTTTGAAGTTATACAGACCTGTGTTTGAATTCTAGCTCTGCACCTGCCAGCTGTATGACTTTAAACTCACTAAATCTCAGTATCCTTATCTTTAGGAGGAAGAAGTATGTGCATCTATTTGGGCTGCTTTTCAGGGTTAAATGAGATAATATGTGTAAAGTACTTAGCACATAGTGGGTGATAAAAAGTAAATTTAGTCATTCCATAGTTAATAAATGCTTATGAAATTGAATGAAATGTTTGACAAAAGTTTTTTATGGTTTTTGAGGTGTCAACTTGGGGATTTACAAATCTGAGGTAAATAATAATGATTTTTTCCCTCTTATCTCTTGTACTTGCTAGCCGAATTGTGAGTATGAAGAAACTTGTTATGAATTTTGTGTGTCTAATTTTGTCACATTAATTTCATGTAGGAAAAATTAACTTAAGATGATTTTTGTTGTTTCTAGAATTGGGCCAAGGAAAAAGTTATTGGAATAGACTTCGATTTTTGGATACTTGTGAATTTATTATAGAGATATTTTCCAAATCGTTTTTCTGTAAATATTTCTTTCTACCTGCTATTGAACTGACACATGATCCAGTAGCAAATGTGAGGTATGTTATCAATCAATGAAAAAAATTGAAAACATTGTATTTATTTTTATCTACTGTAGTGAACATATGCAAAATCTTTTTCTTAACCAATTAAAAATTTAAGTGAAGAATTTACACATGCTTTGAAATTGTTAGTATTCATAATTGATGGGTATCAGTAAGACTTGGAAGCACACTCTTTCAACACTGTCTCAGATCTTTAGTTTTACTGGGTTGAGAGCAGTAAGTCAAAGCCAGATTGGTAACCTTCTTTGGCTGTTTAGGTATAGACATTGCAATGATTAGAAGGTTGAGTAGATATTATTAATTTATCATTAAAACTAAAGAAAAGTTGGTCAGTAGCCTTGTCACTTCAAAGTTGGCTTGGTGAGCGTCTGTCACTATAGTTCAGTGACATTAAAGTAAATGCACATTATTACTTAAGAGCTATTTTTATACATTTGAGAATGGAATGAAAATAATTTTAAACCCTCAGTCATTAGACTACTGTGTTCTAAGTCCTGTGTCTCCATTTTGAACTTGAACTCAGATCTTCAGGAAAGAGAGGCATCAGAGTCAGTTGGCCAAAGGCTTTCTGAACAAACTCTAGAACTCTCTTCTGAATTTTCATACACTAGGGGCACTTAGTTTTATGCATCTCTTTTATAAACAACTGATGTGAATTTTAGGCAATATGTAAAAACATCAAAACTTTAATAGGGGGAGTTGGTGAGATAATAAGCTAGCTAAGGAGGACAGTTTCTGGAACCACACTCCCTGAGCTGAAATTCCAGCTCTATATTAGATGTGTATCTTTAACCAAGTTACAAAACTTCTGTGTGCATTGATTTCCTTAGTACCTAATTTATTAAGTATTCTGAGGTACAAATACCTGAGATAATATACATAAATTATCCAAAAGGTGAGGTCCCTAATCTCAAGAATTTGATCATCTCATGGGCCCAGGAGTCTTATGGAGATGAATCACTACAATGGCTTGTGTAGCTTCTGCTGAATATCTATTTTCTAGACCTTCTAGCCTTGGGTTATAAAGAATTGAGTGTGCATAGATTAAGTGTTTTGGTTTTTCCTTAAGTTAGTGTTTAAAATTTAAACTCATCAAGTTTATACAGTATCAAGCTGGAAAAAGACTCTTGGTATTCAGAGAAGCCTTTTCCACAGCTGCCAGAAATGAAATTTCTTTGGGGGGATTGATGCTCCTTAATTAGAGAAAGCATTACTAGGTTTAGCTGCATCCATGGTGAGTTCTGAATGAGATTGAGACCATTATTGCTATTTACAGTGCTGGAAATTCTATAGGAGGAGCTTCTTTACCCTTTTTGGTTAAATATGAAGCAAATTTTGTTGTATATGAAGAATCCTCAAGTAAAGATTCAGCTGAGAAAGTGTTCTGGAAACTCTAAAAATGGGATTCAGTTGTCTCAAGGTTGCAATAAAAATAAAAAATAATAATTTGGAAGGCATTCAGATGAATAGATGAATATAGCAGCTATAAAATAGATATCTACCTAGCATCCCTGTCTAAAACAGAAAAAGAGTAGACTTTTAGCTTAGCAAAGCAGAATATATTACCTGTGAACTGCCTCCTCCTGGAAAGGTGTTTTTTTTTTTTTTTTTTTTTTTTTTTTTTAAGGTTCTGGGATTTACTCTTACCTTCCAGGCATTCTTCATCCTCCTTTTTTTTTTTTTTTTTTTTTATCCCAGTCTAGACTGTGATAGTGCTTTAGACCACCTTAGACTGTGTTCATTTATCCTTTTCTTCTCTATCTGAACACATTACCTTGGTGATCTCTCCCATTTCATGGTTTATCATCTACTTGCTGAAGAGTCCTCACTCTTATCTCCAGCATTGACCTCCACCCTGGACAGCCAACTTATTGAGCCTACTGCCCACTTAGCATTTCCATTGTATATCTGATAGACATCTCAGACTTGATGTGTCCAGAATTAAATCTTCATCTCTCTTATCTGCTTTTGCTCCTTCTGTAGTCTTCCCCATCTCAGGAAATAACCATTTCATCTTCCAACCTCAAAACTTTAAATAAATTCCTCTCTTTATCATTCTACCTCCAATCCCTCAGCACATCCTGCTGCTTGTAAAAGATATTCAGGATCCAACTACTTCTCACCACCTTTTACTCTAACACTCTGGTTCAATGTACCATCATCTCTTGCCTGAAATATTGTAAGGGCTTTTCCTATTTCTCTTTTTCTGTCCTTGACCAGCTGCAGTCTGATTTCATTCAACAAAGTAGGCAGAGGATGCTTGTAAAACATTGTCAGATCATTTCACCCCTATGCTCACAGCCTACCAGTGGCTTCTTGTCATACTCAAAAGGCAATTTCCTTACAGTGGCCCTCAAAGCCTCTTACTTACCAGTCTGAGCTCTCCTGCTAGTTTCACCTTCACTCTGTTTAGGCACAATGGCCTGTTTGCTCATTTGGACCAATAGTAGAAAAGCTCTCCATATTTGCTGTGATGCCCTTTTCCAGATATTCACACGGCTCATTCCCTAATTTTCTTTAGGTCTTTGCTTAAATGTCATCTCTTCAGTGGAACCTTTACTGACAATCCTCTCTGGTCACCTGCTTTAAAACTGATTAATCCCCAGCCTCTGGGACTCCCTTGCCTTTATTCCCTTCCTTATTTTTCTCCATAGCACTTAACACTCTCTGACAGATTTCTACCTGTTTTTCTCTTTTCTGCTCTCATAATATAATGTAAGCTCCAGGAGAGCAGAGAATTTTGTTGGTTTTATTTACTGTTGTATCTCAGCATCCAGAATGATGAATGCTTGACACATTATAGATATTCCATACATATATCTTGCATGAATAAATGAACTCTCAGGTTATCTAAAACTTGGATTTTTCTTTGTTTCATGTTACTGTTATTCTTAGTTATTAAATTCTCTCAAGAGTAAATACTCTTTATTGTAGAATGAAACTTTGCTACTTGTTGCCCAAAGTGAAATCTACTCTGAAGATTCCTGCTGATAAGCATCTACTTCAGCAGTTAGAAATGTGTGTGAGAAAACTCCTGTGTCAAGAAAAAGATAAAGATGTTCTGGCTATTGTAAAAAGAGTAAGTATCACTCTTGTGTTTTTTTTGCATTAAGGTAGTAAGAAATCATAGCTTCACTATTTCAGCTTGACAAGTAGCAATATATTAAAATATTTTTATCCTTGCTAGAGTTGTAAGAATTAGTAAATGATTTGGTTTATATGTGCTACAACTGGCTATGAAAGTTTCTTCCAAAGGGCACCTAGATATTAAATTTTTATTGCTAGTAATATAAGCCCATGAGAGAGAGAGAGTTTCACAAGTTAGGTGCTCAATAAACACTGTTCAATTAATAATACATATTTTATTTATCAGACTTTCTATATAAGTGATTATAATCCAGTAAAACTTTGTTGGTGAAATTGGGAAAATCACATTTTATAGAAACTTATCTCTGGGAGGGCCCTTAGAGTTAATTCAGGAATCTGTTTGACTTTATAGAAGTTCTATGCCTAGAAATACTGTGTCTGCTTGAGATCATATTAGTAAGTAGCAGAACCAGGAGGATTAGAATAGAGACCTCTTACCTACCCCTGAGTGCATTTCTTTGTAAATGATGTAACATTGTACCCTATGAGCTTTTTGTTTGTTTTAGCATGAGATCTTAGTATATGGATTCCTTGGAAATGTTGGGAAAACTAAAACAGTAAAACTTTGGGTTAGTGAGCCACATCTTAGAATAATTTTTACTCTTCAAAAATTGTTTATGCTGAATATATAACTAATATTTTTATAAGTTAAAGTGAAATTATTTACTTTTGTGAATCTGAATATAAACTTCAGGACACATAGTGTTTGAGCATTTATTTGTAGTGAGGGAAATTTCCTTATTAATGTCATAAATAAATTAGCATACATGGTGAGAAAAAGTTCTCATTTTTTCTAGAAATCATTGCCAGATGTTACATGAAGAATCTTTTAATTAAGTGATTTAATGACAGTATTAATTAGTATAGTTTTAATGAAATGTGAACTCTTCTTTCATCAACTAATATAATCAGAAATACCTAGAGTTGGATGTGCATTTAAATGTAAAAATACATACACACACATACTCTCTCTCTCTCTCTCTCTCTCTCTCTCTCTCTCTTGTTTTTATCAGATAGTTCCTTCCTTACTATTTAATGTTTAAATATAGAAGTTTAGGCAATGGAGTTAACTTGTCAAAATAATAAACTTGAGAGGGTTAATTAGTTTTTCAGAATAATTTATTAATTCGAGAGACAATATAAGCTAACCCCATACAGGTGCAACAATAATGTAATTAAATTGATGGATTATTAGTCTTCAGTGGATTGTTCTGGAGTACAGCTCTTATTTTAAGTATGCTGCATATAATGAAGTCAGTTTGTCCCATGGAAATTCTGTAGTATAATGAGATATTAGTATGGAAAACTCCCAGGAAGCTACACAAAACTTTTGGATAAAAATGGAATTGTTTCATCAGTTTTGTAATATGAGAAGTAACTTTAGAAAGAGAGTATTTCATGGCATACATTATGAATTTTTCATAAATTTCAGCAGAAAAAGCTTCCAGTAAATTTTATGTTTGTAATGGATAGCTTTGGATTTATGCATATCCAAATGCACTTTATTTTGGCCATTAGAGTCACTCTTGTAGAATAAGTTTTAGAAGTACTGTACTCTATCAGAGACAAAACCCTTGGGTTAGATTGACCATTGTTTTGATTGGAATAATTTGTTTCAAACTAGTATATTCCAAAAGACAAATAATAAATTGAGAGAATATTTTCAGAACAGATATACAATTTCTACAGAAGGGAACTAGGATTATTAAGCCAAATGATGGCTTGCTTCATTCATACATAGCTAAAAGACTTTTTAAAAATTCAAAAGCTACAATATATTTCTGAAAATTCAGAAAAGATTGGCACTAGGGCTTACTAGAAATGAGTTAGATTGCATGAATTTGGTATTTGAAATATGCCTGTAGACTTGGTCTTCTTAAGGTTAAAAACTTTCAAGTTAAAATTGACCCTGACATTATTGTATAAAGGTGGATTGTAAGTACAGTGTAGAATTGGGCAAAACTTTAGAATTTTCTGACTAACCTTCCCCATAGTGCAGAGTCTCCTATTTGAACCTCCCTCTGCAAAATAACTTGCTGAGAAATGACTGGTTCTTTTAATTTAATTACTTTTGAATAATTTTAAGAAACTTTTTTTATAGACTGTATTAGAGTTGGACAGAATGGAAATGTCTATGGATGCTGTAAGTATACTCTCTTCCTTTTTTGTGTTAGTCCGTTTTCACACTGCTGATTAAGACATACCCAAGACTGGTCAATTTCCAAAAGAAAGAGGTTTAATTGGACTCACAGTTCCACATGGCTGGGAGGCCTCACAATCATGGCAGAAGGCAAGGAGGAGCAAATCACATCTTATGTGGATGGCAGCAGGCAAAAAGAGAGCTTGTGCAGGGAAACTCCCCCTTATAATATCATCAGATCTTGTGAGACTTATTCACTGTCATGAGAACAGCATGAAAAAGACTCACCCCCATAATTCAGCCATCTCCCACCAGGTCCCTCCCAGAACACGTGGGAATTAAGGGAGCTACAAGATGACATTTGGGTGGGGACACAGCCAAACCATAACACTTCCATTGAAAGGAATATTTTAAACTTGGCAGAAACTCATCACTAATGTTTTACAATTTCATTTTAAACTTTAAACAGTTTCAGAAAAAGTTTTATGAGAAAGATTTGTTGGATCAAGAGAAAGAAAGAGAAGAACTACTTCTTTTGGAAATGGTATGTTTTTTCATATGCACACATAAACTCTTTTCTGAATATTAACTGTGTTTTGTTATTAAACTTAAAAAATGATTTCTTTCCATTTCACCATTTCACATTACTGTTGTTTTCTTCTTAAATGACTAAAGAACAGTCCCAGTTTTCTGAAATCTCTTCTTTTAAGAACTAGAAAGAAAACTATATTTGAGAGCCTTTTAAAAAAACTACTGAAGTATAATTGACAACTACGTATATTTAAAGTATACTATTTAATGAGTTTTGACTTATCTATAAAACTATCACCACAGTGAAAAAATATGAAACGTTTCTATTCCTTTAAAGATTTCTACCCCTTTATAATCCATGTCTTCTACTCCAGTCCTCAGTAACCAGTGATCTAGTTTCTGTCACTATAGATTAGCTTGCATTTTCTATAATTTATATAAATGGAGTAATCTGTTACGGTATTAATACTATTTTTGGTCCTGCATCTTTCTACCAACATAATTATTTTGCGATTTATCCATATTGTTGTATGCGTCAAGAAGCCATTCCTTTTTATTTCTGAGTAGTAGTCTATATTATGGATATATCACAATTTGCTTATCCATTAACCTTTTTGTGTACAGTTGGCTTACTTCTAATTTGGGGATATGACAAATATAGTTGCTTTGAACATTAGTGAAGAAGTCCTTGGGTAGACATGTTTTCATTTCTCTTGGGTAAATACCTGGGAATAGAATGGCTGGATTGTATGGCCTGGTTAACTTTAAAAAAAAAACAAAAACAAAACAAAACTGTTTTCAAGTGGTTGTACCATTTTATATCCCTATTGTCTATGGTAAAAAGCTTTAGTTACCAGCCATGCTATTGGGTATGTAATGGTATCTCATTGTTTTTTTTAAATCTCTTTTTACATTCTTGGTGCCTAGAGATGTCAAGCATCTTGTCTTCGCTTACTGGCCATCTTTCTCTCTTATTTGATGAAGTTTTCAGAATTTTAAGTGGCTTCTTATTATTATTATTGAGATGTAAGAACTTTTAATCCATTCTGAATGTAATTTCCTTGACAGATCTATATGTTATGAGTATTTTATTGGAGCCTGAGGTTTATCTTTTCATTTATTAATGGTGTCTTTTGAACAATAGAAATATTTAATGTTGTTGAAGCCTAGTTTATCAATTCTTTATTTTACGGTTCTTTTTTGCTCCAGGAATCCTTTGTCTGTCCCAAGATCATAGACTTTTTCCTGTGTTTTCTTTGAAAAATTTTAGTTTTAGGTTTTACATTTAGGTTTATGATTCATTTTAAGTACATTTTTATATAAGATATGTTTTTTTTCCCATGGGAATATTCACTTATTCCAGCACCATTTGTTAACAAACCTTCTTTTCCACATTGAATTGCCTTTGCATCCTTAAAAAATATTAGTTGTACACATATGTATTTATTTCTTGACTTCCTTTTATTCTGTTCCCCTTATTTATAAGTTTATCTTTTAAGCAATACCAAACTGTCTCGATCACTGTAACTTTATAGTGTTTTCGAGGTTTGGTGGGGTAAGTTTTCCATCTTTGTTCCTTTTTAAAATTGCTTAGGCCAGTCTAGGGCCTTTGAATTTTGGTATGAAGTCTAGAATTTATTTCTAGGTATTTTATGTTTTTGGCATTATTGTAAATGGAATTATACCTTTTTATTTCACTTTCCAGTTTTTTGTTTGCTGGAGTGTAAGAATACTGTTGATTTTTATACATTAACCTTGTATCTTATAAACTTTCTAAATTTGTTTATTTGTTCTATAAATTGCTTTTTAGATTTTCTACAACTAAGATTTTCTATGTAAGTCATTGTACCTTCTTTAAATACAGCAAGATTACTTCTTTCTATTCAATATTTATGCCTTTTGTTTCTTTCTTTCATCTTATTGCCAGGTCCAGGACCTCTAGTAAAATTAAAGTGGTACAAGTAGGCATCCTTGTGTTTTTACTGATCATAGGGGCAAACAGTTCAGTTTTTCATTATCAGGTATGATGGTAGAAGTAGGTTTTATGTAGATGCCCTTTATCAGATTGAGGAAGTTACTTCTGACTCCTAGTTTGCTGAGAGTTTTTTATGAATGGTTGTTGCATTTGGTTATATCTAGAAATGATGTTTGGCTTTTCTCCTTCATTCTGCTAATACACTGAATTACACTTATTTTTCAAATGTTAAACCAATATTGTATTTTGGAGATAAACTCTATTTGGTAATGGTTTATTATCCTTTTTCTTTGTTGAATTCTTGGTTAATGTTTTTGTTAAGGGATTTTACATCTGTGTTCATAGATTCAGTGAAATTGGCCTGTAATTCCCTGTTTTGTCATTTTTGGGATCAGATTTGGTATTAATGTTATTCTGGCCTCATAAAACAAGATGGATGGTATTCCCACCTTCTTTATTTTCTGACCAAGTTTGTATAAATTGGTTTTATTTTTGCCTTGAGTGTTTTATAGAATCCATTAGTGAAGTTATCTAAGCCTGGAGTTTTCATTTTGGGAAGTATTTTGATAATTGATTCTATTTCTTTAATAGACATTAGATTATGTAGATCTTCTGTTTTTTCTGTTGTCAATTTTGCTAAATTGCTTCCCCCCCACTCTAGTTTACATGTTATTTAAACAAATCTGTTGTCATGAAGTTATTTATAATATTCTCCTTTTAATTATGGTATTAATCTATGGTGATAACCATTTTATTGTTGTGCTAGTGATTTGTGTTCTTCCTTTCTCCTATTTTCTGGAATTTGTTTGCTGGTTTCTCTAGAGATTTTAATATCCATACCTAACCTTTTACAGTCTACATAGTGTTATTATTATCTCATGTCACTTAACAATAATACAAATCTCTTTACCCTCTCCACACCCATTCTTCATGTTACAGTTGTCATATGAATTATGTCTGTATTGAAGACCCCACCAGTGTTGTAATTTTGCTTTAAGTTGTCATATATATCTTGAAGAATTTAAGAGTATTAACTTCTATGTTTACTCAGATGTTTACCATTTCCAGTGCTTTTCATTAATTGCTTAAGATCTAAATTTTTCTCTGGTATTTTTTTTTCCTTCAGGCTGAAGAATTTTCTTTACCAAATCTTGCAGTGCAGATCTTCTGGTGACAACTTCTCTTATTTTTTCTTTATCTAAGATATCTTATTTTTACTTCATTCCTGAAGGACATTTTCACTGGGGATAGAAGTCTGGGTTGACAGCCTTTTCCTTACTGCATTGTAATAATGTGTTTCTATCTGTCTTCTGGCCGCTATAACATCTGATAAAATATCTACTCTCATTTGAATTGTTTGTGCTTCTGTATGAAGCATTGTTTTTCTCAGTATTTTTTTCTTCAAGTATTTTTTTCTTTTATCTTTTGTTTTTAGCAGTTGGCTTTTGATGTTGTCTAGGCATTATTTGCTTGAAGTTTATCCCATTTGGATTTGCTTATCTTACTGAATCTGTAAACGTATATCATTCCTGAAATTTGGGAAGATTTAGTCATTGTTTATTTAAATATATGTTCTATTTCAATTTTTCTGTCTCTTATTTCTGGGTCACTAATTGCATATATATTAGATCTTTTATTATTGTCCATAGACTTATGAGGCTTTGTTCTTTCTCAGTTTTTAAAACACTCTGTGCTACTCAATGTGAATAATTTCTCTTGATGTATCTTCAGTGTTACCAACTCTTTCCCTGTCCCCTCCATTCAGCTGCTGAGCCTATCCAGTGAATTTTTTTATTTCCAATATTTTTCAGTTCTAAAATTTCCATTCGGTTCCTTTTATATTTTCTATTTCTGTGCTGAGAATTTGTGTGCTTAAAGGGGAAATCCTCTGAAAAGCAAAGTTTATTATTTCAACAGTCTTTCAAAACAAGATTAGAATTCAGGATTGCCAGTGGGTGAAGCTGTAGAGAAGACTCAAAAAATTTTAGGACCAAATGACCTAGCCCAAGACAAAAACAGACAATAGAAAGATACCCACAAATAATTCTGATATTGCAGCTAGTAGGCAAGGACTTCAAGATAACTGTGATTAATGTGATCAAGATAATAGAGGGAAATATGTAGAAAAGGGTTAACTCTGTTAATCCCACCCAGTGAAGTTTTATGCTTTATTTCTGTTTTAGAATTTCCATTTAATTTTTTTATATAGTCCACATCTATGTGGAAATTCTTTATCTTCTTTTCTCCATATTTTCCCTTAGTTTATATGTGTACTTGAAAAGAATGTTTATTCCACACTTGTTGACTATATGGAAATGACCAAAGTAATGGTATTTTGCTAAGGAGAATACTGTAGTATTCTGTGCATGTCAGTTATACCAAGTTTGTTCAGAACTTGCTGTGTTTCTTGATTTTCTTGCCTATTCTGTTGGCATAATGGGCTCCTGTGTTTTGGTAATGGTTTGTTTTTTGATATTGGAGCTGGTTATACAAGTGTGTCTATTTTGGAAAATTCCTTGAGCTATGAGTTTGTACACTTATAATTTATGTACTTTATAAAGAGATACATATATTTATATATGTATATAAAGAGCTATATATATTTATATGTAAAAGTACACTATATTTTATAAAATAATGAAATATATAAAATATTTCAAATAAATATATATATTTTATATATATTTGAAATATTTTATATATATATATATATATACATGGTTTGTTTTTTTTTTTCTTTTTTGAGATGGAGTCTCACTCTGTCACCCAGGCTGGAGTTTAGTGGTGCAATCTCAGCTCACTGCAATCTCCACTTCCTGGGTTGAAGCGACTCTTCTGCCTCAGCCTCCCATGTAGCTGGGATTACAGGCATGCACCACCATGCCTGGCTAATTTCATAAATGAAACTTCCTCATGTTGGCCAGGTTGGTCTTGAACTCCTGACCTCAGATGATCCACCCACCTCAGCCTCCCAAAGTGCTGGGATTACATGCGTGAGCCACTGTGCCTGGCCTCTCTCTATATATTATACTTAAATAAAGCATTTAAAAATATCTGAGGCCATATTCTTTTCTCTCAGTCTTTTTAAAGAAAGATATTATTTAACCATTTACCAATCTGAAATGGAAATGACCAAAGTAATGGTATTTTGCTAAGGGAAATTAGTAAATACCTTCTAGAAAATGAAGGCTCATTATTACAGAGGTACCAAACTCATTGTTTTAGCTTGACAAACCCCCAAGGACCCTGAATTTTTTAGACACCAACATTGAAAAAAAAATACTTCCTTTTTATGAACTTTATTTGAATCTTGAATGCTTAATTTCTCAGAACAATTTTCTAAACCTATTTAAGTTGTACCTTTAATACAAGATACTGTCTTAATAACAGGAACAATTAGAGAAAGAAAAGCAACAGAATGATGGAAGGCCCATGAGTGATAAAATGTATGAAAAGAAACGTAAGTAGTTTTTCTGTCTTCACCACTTAGTTACAAAATTAATGTTGCATCCTGGTATTCTGAAACAATATGCTGAATTTTTTATTTATATGGAAAATTGCTTTACTTTCTTTCATTTTTCAAAAGTCAGTTTGAAAATTGGCTGCTTAATGTGGTACAGATGTTAAGAATACATGAATGAAAGACAGGAACCAGAGTGGATGTTCACATCCTTCAGAAGAAAAAATTAAAGCTTGATAACAGCTGTAAGATTGTGAAATTGATCACTGAATAACAAAGATTGAAATATGTAAATATTACAAAGTAAGAATATTTGGAAAAGAAAGCTCCTTAGCTAGGGATAATGATTCATATTATCTGGGTTGTATTGTATATTTATGGAGATTAATAAGGACTCAGAGGAAATTACAGAATTTAAAACAGAGTTTATTTTAGGTAGAGACACTAAGACACCAACACAAAGTCTGCCCAAGAACATCCCCATTTCTGTTCCTGGACCTTCTTCTGTCACCCCATCAACAAGTAAGAAATAACTTCTTTTCATATCTTTTTAATAATTTTTCTTCCTTTTATAAAAATTAATTTCTGGCAAAGTCACTCTATTAGATGAGATATAATAGGATAAAATATCTCATTCTAAAGCACTTTTCACCTTCTATTATTAGTTGTTTTGGTAGTTCTTAATGGATAGTATCGGTAAGAGATACTTCAGTGAGCTCAAACTAAGGAAAAAAAGGCTAAAGCCATCTGTGTTTTACTAAAAGTGATGGTAGTTGGGTAGGGAATGGAGGTTGGGGCAGCTAAGGATGAACTTAATACATTTTCCTTTTTTCTGCTTATTACTCTAGGTAAAGAAATCAAGAAATCCAAACTGATTCGAAGCCAGTCTTTTAATAATCAAGCTTTTCATGCAAAATATGGCAACTTAGAGAAATGTGCAAGGTATGATCTCTCAGCTCTTCAATTTTTAACATAATTTTTATCTTTATTCACATCTTCATATATATGAGTTTACATTTTATAAAAATCAAAATTAATTTTGAGGTTTTTTTATAGGCCAGTATTTTGTCAATTTTCTTCTGTAGGGATTGTTATATTTAAAAATAAGAGATGTCCACCAATTTTCACAAAAAATAGGTATCCTGGCATTCTAGGAAGAATGCTGCCATGATACAATTTAATAATATCATAGAATTAATCTGTGTATTATTTCATGAGGGAAGTAGTACTATATCACATATGCCACTTAACTTTTAATAGGTATGAGTATGCCCCATTTTCTAAATATGTATGGACATCTATTTGCTACTAATATTGTTTCTGTCTATAAAGAAGCCACATGCATGTTCATATGATAAAGTGATCACAGCAGAATTGTCCTGACAATAGATGAATGTCTGGCTTCCCCTTTAGCCCAGGAGACAAAATTACAAGCAGTTACGATTAGGAGAGAATCAATATAAATTAAATTACAATGATTTTTTATATGTGCTGTATAAACAGCTATATGTCAATTGACATGTAAAATAAGTTTAAGAGAACAAATATTTTTTAAAGTATTCCTTTGTCTATCAAGATAAATGCCATCTTTCAGAAAAAAGTATTTTTCTTTTATTAAAGATAGCTTCTTCCAGAATTTTAGCTGTGTTTTGGGGCATTATCAATAGATCCATCAAGAGTACCTAGCCAATAGAGTGATCTTAAGGTAGAAAAAAGAGATTATAACTAAAGGTAAGTTTTATTTCCAAGAAAATTTTTACCCATCTTAGCTGCCTTGCTTGAACATCAAAAGAAATTCTGATGAAGCAAAAGTTTAAGGAAATGCTTTTAATTTATAGACAAAGTAAGTGTTATGAGGCATGAGTATAATAAAACAAATGAGAAATAAAAGCAACAACTGTTTCATAAGTAGAGGAAAGCATTAAAAATAAGAGTAAAACAGCGCAAGTGTTAGATGACTGAGATTGTAAGAAGTGTGTTTTTATATTTTAAACTAAATCATGTTGTTTTCTAGTAAAAGTTCTACAACAGGATACACAGCTTCTGTCTCAGGGTTAGGAAAGACTTCTGTGCTTTCATTAACTGGTAAGTAGCAATCTAAGTTCTTCAAAAACTTGCTAAATTTAATAAAATATGATTTTTCTTAAATGAATTATTTCTTTACTACTAGATGCCGTGTTTTCCTAAATTTATATCTTTATCATATCCCTAAGAAATTAAACTTTTCTCTAGCAGTTGAGAAAATATTTGACTAAACTATTTTGTCTTCAAGGTAAAAAGTCAAGGCTTGGAGTTTAATACTTTTAAAATAGAGGAAGAACAAAAGTGATAGGGTAGGTTTTACCAAACTTAGAAGGCTTACTGAGGCACAGACAAAAAGATTTTGCAATGATTTTTAAGGAGGTTAAAAACAGCGGGACTTCACTATAAATCTAGATGAACAGCTAAACATTTACAGTATTATGTATTTAGAAGTTTGTGGCAGAGGTCAGCACATTTCTCTGAAAGGCCAGAGGGTAAACATACAGGCTTTGTTGGCCAAATTGGTCGGTCACAGTTATTTTATTTTTTTTGAGACTGAGTCTCGCTCTGTCGCCTGGGCTGGAGTGCAGTGGCGTGATCTTGGCTGACTGCAACCTCCGCCTCCCAGGTTCAAGCGATTCTCCTGCTTCAGCCTCCTGAGTAGCTGGGATAACAGGGGCATGCCACCACGCCTAGCTAATATTTGTATTTTTAGTAGAGACAGAGTTTCACTACGTTGGCCAGGATGGTCTCGATCTCTTGACCTTGTTATCTATCCGCCTTGGCTTCCCAAAGTGCTGGGATGACAGATGTGAGCCACTATATCCAGCCCTGTCACAGTTATTGAACTCTGCTGTTGCTGAGTTAAAGCAGCCATAGACAGTACATAATGAATAGATATGGCTGTGTTCCAATAAAACTTTATTTACAAAAACAGGCCGTGGGCGAGATTTGACCCACAGACTGTAATTTGCTGACCTCTGGTTTATAGAATAGATTATAGAATTATACTACTAATAATGTAGAATATATTGCTGAAATTACTAGTGGCTAAATGTGTGTTTTTAACTTTATGCCTTGGAAATGTTGGTTGAAAATTTTACTGTTAATCTATCGTAATTTTTTTTAGTATAAATAATAGTGAACCTGCTCAAAGATCTGAAATTTTTAAGAGCTTAGTTACATTTTCTTTTAAGGTTGCATTTTGAGTATTCTGTCATCTTTAATTTTTTAAAAATTCTCATGAAGAATGTATTTACTCATTAGCTGTTCTGTAAACAGTATTTCATTTGCTGGAACAGAAAGTCTTTCTAGCATTAAAGCATTGACATTCATGTACAGTATATAGAGTGGTTCTCCAAGGTGGACTATGATTATCAGAAGAATTTGGTAACAGAAAGTTGACAAACTAAAATTTTCCCCATATCTTGGACTATATATAATAAACCCATTGATTACTTTCAGCCCAGTAAAGCAGTGAATTCTTTAGGAGATACTAAGGAACATTCAGAGTTTAAGAACTTTATTTAAAATACAGAGTGGCTGAGAAACGGTCACAGCCAAAGCCTAAGGATAACTCACAAGTAAATGTGATGTATTCTGGATGGGATCCTGAGGTAATGGTGTGGATAATTATAGATGTTCATAAGGGGTTCTTCAGACTTGGATGGATCTCACCTGTCCTCTTGGCACTTCTTCACTTAGCTGTATTGAGCAAGTGAACATATTTATTTATGATCTGGTAACATTTTTTGTTAAGAAATTTCTTTGTCAAAATCATTAAGAATATTGATTCAGAAGTGGTTTTTAAAAGTTTTAATTATGTGCATTAGTTTTCACTTTACTAGTTTTTAAGTGAACTTGAGAACCAAGAGAGTAGATATGGTCCACAGATTCTAAAACTTACATCCAAAGTCTTAAATGAGGTATTTTATGAAATATATTAGTCTGTTCTCATGCTGTTAATAAAGACATACCCAAGACTGGGTAATTTATATAGGAAAGAGGTTTAACTGACTCACAGTTCCACATGGCTGCAGAGGCCTCACAATCATAGCAGAAGGCAAAGGGGAAGCAAGACATGTCTTACATGGCAGCAAGCAAGAGGGTATGTGCAGGGGAACTGCCCTTTTATAAAACCACCAGATCTTGTGAGGCTTACTCACTGTTATGAGAACTGCATGGGAAAAATCCACCCCCATAATTCAGTTACCTCCCACTGGGAGAGACCCACTGGGTCTCTCCCATGACATGAGGAGATTATTACAGTTTAAGGTGATATTTGAGTAGGGACACAGAGCCAAACTATATCATGAGGGTATTTTATTTAAATATTTGAAAAATATTCTATCTTAATATTATTTTTAGTTGAGGGAGAACTGTAGGTTGAATGAAATATCTCCTAGGGTTCTTGGTTAGAAAAAGTGCTTATTATTGTTATTTATTACTTAAAATAGAAACCGAAAAATTTTACTGTATAGTAACACATCTGCAAAGAGAAAATGGAAGCAGAATATCTTTTAACAAATGTGTCAGGTATTTGCATAGAGAATAGATCTTATTTAATTGTGGGACTCAAAACAGGCTTCAAGATGATTGTGTCATTTGAGATCAACCTTAAGGTATGCTAGGATTTTGACAGGCAGAGATGTGTATAGAATAACATTCCATTCACAGCACCAGTCATAAATGAAAGATGATTGTTGGTGTTTTCAGGGAGCAACAGTTGACTAGTTTGGTTGGAGTGTGGAGTGAATATAAAGGAGTAGTGTTAGATGAAACTGTAAGGAAAGGTCAGAGTCATATTTTGGAATGCGAGATTGGATACTTTTTACTTAACATGAATCCACTGTTTATTGTGTGGTGACTTCTGGCCTGTCATCAATTATACCACTCAAAACTGTTAAGGGAAGTCTGAGGAACTGTCACAGCCAGAGCCTAAGGGGAACTAACAAGTAAATGTGATGTAGTATTCTGGATGGGATCCCGAGACAGAAAAAGTTGTTATTAGATAAAATTACAACTACTATGGATTTTAGTTAATAATGTATCAGTATTGGTTCGTTAAATATAATAAATATAGCATACTTATATAAGGTGTTAATAATAGAGGATATTGGGTGAAGGGATATATGAGAATTCCTTATCTGTCTTCTCAATTTTTCTGTAAATCAAAACTGTTCTAAAAAGACAGTTTATTTAAAAAAATCATTTATAGTATCTTCAAAAACACTAAATGCCCAGGGACAGATTTAACAAAATGTGCTACATATACATAAAACTTTAAAACATTGCTGAAAGAAGCTAAAGACCTAAGTAAATGGAGAGGTGTAACATGTTTATGGATTGAAAAACTGAATATTGTTCCAATGTCACTTTTTTTCTAAATTGATCCAGAGATTAAATGAAATCCTAATTAAAATTCTAGTAGTCTTTTTGCAGAAACTTATAGGCTGATTCTAAAAATCTGTATTGAAATGCAAAAGGACCCCAGCTTAGCCAAAATAGTTTTGCAAAAGAAAAAGCTGGATAACTTAAATGTAAGTTTGATTTCAACAATTACTATAAAATTCTGGAAATCAAGACATTGTTTTCTATGTTGTCGTATATAGTAAGTTGATTTTAACAAAGGCTTCAAGATAAATCAATGGTGATAGAATAATATTTTTTTAAATGGTGCTGGATGGGCCAGTTCCTTGAAAGACACAATTCATCCAGGCACGGTAGCTCACACCTGTAATCCCAGAACTTTGGGAGGCAGAGACGTGTGGCTTACCTGAAGTCAGGAGTTCAAGACTAGCCTGACCAACATGGTGAAACCTGGTCTCTACTAAAAATACAAAAATTAGCTGGGCATGGTGGCATGTACCTGTAGTCCCAGCCACTCAGGAAGCTGAGATGGGAATCACTTCAACCCAGGAGGCGGAGGTCGCAGTGAGACGAGATCATGCCACTGCACTCCAGCCTAGAAGCCAGAGAGAAACTCCATCTCAGAAAAAAAAAAAAAAAAAAAAAAAAGGAAAAGAAAACAGACAATTCAAGACTCACACAAGAAGAAATAGACAATCTGAATAGGCTTATATCTATTAAGGAAATTGAATGAGTAATTAATAATCTTCCAGAACAGAAAACAACTAGCCCAGATGGGTTCACTGATAAATTCTACCAAATATTTAGGGAATAAATTATACTAATTATCTGCAGTCTCTTTTACAAGATAGAAGCAACACGAATACACCCTAACTCATTCTGTGAGGTCAGCATTACCCTGCTACCAAAATCAAAGTCATTCCAAGAAAAGAATACTAGATACCAATATCTTTCATGACTACAAATGCAACAATCACCAAAACATATTAGTAAATCAAATCCAACAATATATAAAAGAATTACACATCAAAACTGAGTAGGATTTATCCCAGTTCCTGTAATACATCACACCAACAGTCTAAGGAAGAAAAATCACATGATCATACTAATACATGAAGAAAAGACATTTGACAAAATCCAACACCTATTCATGGTAAAAACCATCAGTAAGCTAGGAATAGAGAACTTCCTCAACTTTTAAGGAATATCTACAAAAAAATCTACAGATGACATCACAGTAGTGAGGAACTAGAAGCTTTCTCCCTAACATCAGGAACAAGACAAGGATGTCCTCCTCTCACCATTCCTTTTTATCATCATACTGGAAGTTCTAGAAAAGGAAAGAAAAGATATACTGATTTTCGAAGGAAGGACTCAAATTGTGTTTGGTCACAGATAACATGGTTATCTATGTAGAAAATTCACAAGAATTGACAGAAACACTTCTGGAACTAAGAAGTGATTATAGCAAGGCTGCAGAATATAAAGTTAATATATGAAGGTCAATATAAGGTTAATGTACAAAGTTCAATATGTCCTATATTCCAGCAATGAAAAAGTAGGAATTTAAAATTAAAAGCACAATACCATTTACATTAGCACTCAGAGAAGTGAAATACTTAGGCATAACTCTAACAAAATATGTACAAGATCTATATAAGGAAAACTACAAAACTGATGGGAGAAATCAAAGAACTAAATAAAGAAGGAGATATCTCATGTTGATTGCTAGAAAAACTCAATATTGTCAAGATGTTAGTTCTTCCCAACTTGATCTATAAACTCAATGCAGTCTCAGTCAAAATCCCAACAAGCTATTTGGTGGATATCAACAAACTGATTCCAAAGTTTACCTAGAGAAGAAAAACCCCAGAATAGCCAACATAATAATGAAGAACAAAGCTGGAAGATCGAGACCACCTGACTTCAAGACTTACTATAAAGCTACAGTAATAAGACAGTGTGGTATCGGCAAAAGAATAGTCAAATAGATTGAAGGAACAGAATAGGGAGCTCAGAAATAGACCTATGTAAGTATAATCACATGATATTTAACAAAGGAGCAAAGCCAATGCAATGGAGAAAAGATAGTCTTTTCAAACATATGCAGATGGACCAATAAGACACCCGCATGCCAAAAAAAAAGAAAAATTAGATTTTTCACAAAAATTTATTCAAAAATGAGCCACTGTTTAAATGTAAAATGCAAAACTATAAAATTCCTAGAAGATAACACAGGAGAAAATCTAGATCGCCTTGCTTATGGTAATGACATTTTTAAATACCATGTCAAAGGCACAATCTATGAAATAAAGAATAAGCTGGAATTCATTAAAATGAAAACTGCTATTTGAAAACTACTGTCAAGAGAATGAGAATGCAAGCCACTGACTGGGAGAAAATGTTTGCGAAACACATAACCTGATAAAGGACTTTTATCTAAAATATACAAAAAACTTATGAAACTTAACAGTAGGAAAACTAACAGCCTGATTAAAAAATGAGCAAAGACTTGAACAGATACCTCACTGAAGAAGATATGTAGATGGAAAAAAGCATATGTAAAGATGTTCAACATCATATATCATAAAGTCGATACAAATTAAAACAATGAAGTCCCACGACACACCTATTAGAATGGTCAGAATCCAAAATGCTGACAGCAAATCCTGGTGAGGATGTGAAGCAGTGGGAACTCTCATTCATTGCTGGTGGGAATACAGAATGGTGCAGCCACTATGGAACATCAGTTTGGTAGTTTCTTACAAAACTAAACATACTCTTGCTATATGACATAGCAGTCACGCTCCTTGGTCTTCATCCGCAGAAGTTGAGAACGTTATGTCCACACAAAACCCTGCACATGAATGTTTATATAAACTTTATTCACAATTGCCAAAATTTGAGAGCAAACAAAATGTTCTTCAGTAGTAGATGAATAAGCAAACTGTAATACATCCAGACAATGGAATATTATGCAGTGCTAAAATGAAATGATCCATCAGGCCATGAAAAGACATGAAGGAACCTTAAATACATACTACTAAGTGAAAGAAGCAAATTGAAAAGGTAGCATTCCTACTATATGACATCCTGGAAAAGATAAAACTATGGAGACAATAAAATGATAAGTAGTTGTCAGAGGTTGGGGGAAAGGAGAAATGAATAGGTGGAACACAGATAATTTTTAGGGTAGTGAAAACACCCTGTATGATCCTAAAATGATAGAAACTCATTTCTATATTGTCCAAATTTATAGCATGTACGCCATCAAGAGTGAACTCTAATGTAACCTGTGGACTTTGGGTGATAATGACGTGTCAATGTAGGTTCACCAGTGCAACAAATGTACCACTGTTGGGAGACAGGGAAGTTGGGAGGCTGTGTATGAGTGGGGAGATATGCGAAATCTCTGTACCTTCCACTCAATTTTGCTGTAAACTTAAAACTGTTCTAAAAAATAAATTCTATTTAAAAAGTGGTGCTAGAATCAATGGATATCCATATTAAAGGAACAAAAACAAAAACACACCCTGAACATTAATTCTTTTAAAAATTTGTATAAATTTAAAGTATACAAGTACAGTTTTATTACATGGATATATTACATAGTGGTAAAGTCTGGGCTTTTAGTGTAACCTAATCGTGTACATTTTACACATTAAGCAATTTCTCATCCTTCACACTCTCTGACACTCCCACCCTTCCTATTCTCCAGTGATAAGTATTCCCCATTCTACGACCACATGTACATGTTATTTAGCTCCACTTATAAGTGAAAACATGCAGCATCTGACTTTCCATTTCTGTGAATCTCAAATCTTATCTCACACTATACACAAAATTAACTCAAAATATATTATAAACCTAAGCATAAAGAAAATATAGAAGAACGTCTTTGTGATTTGGTAATACAAAAGATTATCTTGACCATAAAACAAAAATATTAGCATACTGGGCTTCATCAAAATTAAAGCATCTGGGTTTGAAATAGAGCATTAAAAATAAAAGGCAAGGCATAGATTTGGAGAAAATATTCATAGTATACATTCCAGACAAAGGATTTGTATCCAGAATATACAAAGATGTCTTTATAAAAATTAGGCAACCAATTTTAAAATGGGGAAAAGATTTGAATATGAACTTCACAAAAGTTACACAAGTAAGTGCATGAAAAGATGCTTAACATCCTAATCATTAGGGAAATGGAAATTTAAAAGCAATAAAAAATAAAAGTACCCACGGAGTTACCACTTCACATCTGCTAGAATGTCTAAAACTAAAAAGACACAATATCAAGTGTGTGTGAGGATGTGGAGTAACTCTCCAAAATTCTCATATGTTCCTGGCAGAAATGTCAGGAAGGAAAAGAAATGGTGGACATTAATTTGGTAGTTTCTTAGGAAGTTAAATATATATTTAGTATGTGACCCAGCAGTTTCACTTCTAGGCATTTACTGAGAAGAAACTAATACATATGTCCACACACAGACTTGTACATGAGTGTTCATAGCAGCTTTATTTGTAATGTATAAAAACTGGAAAAAATAGATATGTCTATCAACAGATATTATGGGTAAACAAATTTTGACATATTTACACAATACCAGTAAGAAGTAAAAAGGAGGAAAGTATTGATACGTAAAACAGGAATTTCAAAATTATGCTGAATGAAAGAAACCAGACAAAAAAGAGTATATACTGTATGTTTTCATTTATATAAAATTCTGGACAATGCAAACTGATTTATAGTTGACAGGAGTGGTTTGGAGAGGGAGGAGGAGGATTGCGATGGGGTATGAAGGACTGTTTCATAGTGATAGATGGGCTCACATCTTCATTGTCATGATCTTCATGGGGGTGTACATATGTCAAAACCTTAACTTTTTGCTCTTTGTTGTATGTAAATTATACCCTCATAAAATTGATTTAAAAAGTGAAAAAGTCAGCTATCATTAACCTTTTCTTCTTTTCTTTGGTTACCCTCTTTCTTAGTATATTTGATATGTCTGGCTTTATATGTATTACTTTCAGATGATTCATTCCGGACTCGCAATGCCAGTAGTGTTCCACCTTCCTTTTCTCCTAATACTACCTTACCGAGTACTTCCCGTGGGACAGGTAACTCACTTGATCCCAAGAGCAGTGGAAGTAAAGATACACAACCACGGAAGGCTACCTTGTAAGTAATCAAATGATGTCGGACTGCGTGTATTATGCTACTCTTTTTGTCAACACACTTTCCTTCCCACTTAAATACTTTCCAAAGAATAGAAAATGTCTATAATGAGAAAATGTTATAAACTAGAAGGTATTATTGTCACATGTGACTCTGTTATGTTTATAAAGAATGACTTATGGCAAAGATATTTGTAATCTTAGGGAAGCAGAAAGCATTTAAATGGCTCCCACTAGTATCTGAGATCTATTTTTTTTCTATGAAATGTTTGCATTTAGGTAATTTATCTCTAAGAAGACATCCCTTTAAACACCTAGCTTAAGGATATGGTATTTAATCACCCAGTGTGCAGAAAGATGGGTACAGCTGATGTCACTTAAGAATAAGTGGCAGCATGGAACCCAGAATTGTGAGTCCAATAAACTGGAGTTATTTACAGACTATATTATGTTTTGAAGTTGAAGTTATAAAGAGCCTCTGTTCTTTCCCCTCATTGTTCTTTTTAATGTGCTACTCATGTCTTTTAGCTTAAATATTTAAGAGAAGGGTACCATAAAAATCACCATGGTAAGAGACTATATCAAGGCATAAATGATTCAGCCAGGATACCCAAACCATAGTTACAAGTTAGCCATTTCATATAGGACACCTGAACCTTCTGGTTGGAACAGACTTTAAACAAGATTTAGATTTTCTTTTAAACATATGTTTGTGAATGCATGGGCATTTTTGAATAAAGTTTTTAAAATGCATTCTTTTGTAAAAACTCTATGCCAGAGTCCCTTTTAGGATCTGATTTAGGCTGTTTTGCATTGCTTTAAAGAAATACCTGGGACTGGGTAATTTATAAAGAAAAGAGATTTAATTGGCTCATAGTTCTGCAGGCTTTACAGGAAGCATCTGCTTCTGGGGAGACCTCAGGAGGCTTATTATCCTGTTAGAAGGTGAAGCAGGAGCAGGCACATCACATGGTAAAAGCAGGAGCAGGAAAGAGAGAGTAGGGTTGGGGAGGTGTCACACAGTTTTAAATGATCAGAGCTTGTGAGAACTCACTATCACAAAGATAACACCAAGCCATGAGGGATCCGCCCCCAAGATCCAAACACCTCCCACCAGGACTCACCTCCAGCATTGGGGATTACAGTTCAACATGAGAGTTGGGCAGGGACAAACATCCAAAATATATGTATACCGAATTTTAACTGGTCATTGTGTATATACCAATATAGATGTATATGCCTAACTTCATTCAAAATTTAGAAATAAGCTTAGAAATAAATTTATTGAATGGAGCTCAAGGAAAGAGGACCAATACACTTACAAAAAAGTAACAGTAATAGAAAAAAAAGAATAATGATATTACAGGTTAGCAGTGTAAATGCTACTTTTATTTACAGAGAATGCTCTTTAGCTATACATTTATTGCTCCCATGATTATACTGTGGAAATTCTACGTAAGTCATGAAATCACTGGGCGTGGTGGCTCATGCCTGTAATCCCAGCAGCCCTTTGGGAGGTGGAGGCTGGCGGATCATCTGAGGTGAGGAGTTCGAGAACAGCCTGGCCAACATGGGGAAACCCTGTCTCTGCTAAAAAAAATACAAAAATTTGCCGAGTGTGGTGGCACGTGCCTGTAATCCCAGCTACTCAGGAGGCTGAGGCAGGAGAATTGCTTGAACCTAGGAGGCAGAGGTTGCAGTGAGCCGAGATCATGCCATTGCACTCCAGCCCGGGCAACAAGAATGAAACTCGGTCTCAAAGTCATGAAAGCAGAGGCAGGGCATGGTAATGGTGTATAGAGAGCATGAGACTTGTGTGCCTCCTTCCCAGCAGCAGCTAAGTGGCTGTGCAAAGTTCAGCTCAGCACACTGGTCCTCACTGTGCATGTCTGTCACATGACAGGGCCGCCTCATGGTTCCTCTTCTAAGGTGACTTCTAGCTCTGGCATCCTGAAATCTTCTTTCTTACCCTAAGTTTGCTTCCTCCCAAAAGTTTGCCCTGAAATACTTCTGTTGAGGAATTATGTTCATGTTATTTAGCAACATCAAAAGTAATATATTCTCTTGTCCACTTACTATATATTTTTAAATGCCATAGGCATTTTTTACAGTAAAGATCATTGAAACCCAATATATTTATGCCAGTTCTCCTTTATTTCAGATTACTCCTTTTATCTGTTCTTTCATTGTTGAGCAAGCTTTTCCTTTTTATAGACTGAATTTTCTCTTGTTCAACCTAAATAATGTGTAATTATTTATATAATTTATATATATGTAAAATTGATTAAAAAGTGAATCTAGAAGCAAACATTTTGATAACAAATCACATCGGGTGTATTTTTTCTTTTCTGATTCTAAATGAGGAATGTTGATATCTACAGTTGCTTTTTTAACATGTAACTGGATACACAAGCTTGTAACTGTATTTCCATCTGATGTGGCATTTATATGGATCCCTCTTGACTGCACACTGCCACATGGCTGGATGGGTGATGATACCCATGTTGGTTGTTCTTGTGAAATAGTATCCACAATTCAAAGCAGGCCATATCCAAATGAAAATATATTCTTTTTATTTAAAATAAGCCTGTGAGGTGATTTTGGAGAGTATGAATTATCTCAGTTTTTGCTTCTCAAATTCTATGTAATACATTCTCCAGCTTTTCAGTGTCCTTGTGATGACACATTTGGTATTTAGGAATATTGGCATCTTAAAGGAAGCATAGATCTGTATTATATCTTTGTCTTTTAAGGCAGTTCATATATTTATGTCTGTGTAACTTCCATTATGGTTATACAAAATTAAAAATGTAGGAAAGTATGAATTAAATTGAATTCTATGTTAGATTTACACAGAATTTTTGGTAATTAAAGATAATTTTAAATAATCTTTAATGTGTAATTCATTTTTTCTATTAAGAGAATTCTCATGTATTAGATTTATTCCGAGTATATATTTTAATTTACTTTGTAAACATTATATGAATAACATTTTTCATGTTTTCTTTCTTTTTCTCCCTTTCTCACTCCCTCCTTCCCCACTCCCCCTCTTCTCCCAAAGAAAATCCAGAAAATCCAATCCTTAAATCAACTGCTTGAGGAAGGAGGCAAAACAAAGGCAGCAGGAGATAATGTGATTGGTGCACAAAAGCTAAAGCAATGGCTGGGGCTTTGTTCTTAAATTTTGGGGGTTTTTGTTTGTTGTTGTTAATGAGCAGAAAGAGAGATATAATGACAGCTGATGTACTTTCCATGTTTCAAATTAGATTCCCTAGGAGGTATAATGTATACTTTTTGAGTAATAATGTGGTTACAGAATTCCAATGTTATAGTGAAGTGTAATGAAAAACATCTCTAGGTATGTGCTTTAACCACTGCTGCAAAAGAGACAAGTCTGCATTTATTTGTGCAGGAAACCAGCTATTTAATTGTTCTAGAGTTTTGGCATTTAAAAATTCTATGAAAGTCTACATCAGCTGAAATTGTCCTAGCTTGATAATCACTTGGAAGGGGACTTAGAAGGTAAGAAAGATACTGCATTTTCTCATGACTCTCCAAGCCCACTTGAAAAGTCACACTGAAAGGATGCAAATAGCTGTCTTCGATTTTGGCAGCCCTCCGGATTGTGGAGACAATATGTTGTACCCAGACATTCCCAAATTTAAATTTGGCAATGAAAATTCCACAAAGATTTCTGATAACTTTGAGCTATAAATACCTTAAAAATAATAGATTGATGATTTTCTTTATTTCCTAGAGAATTTATTTTATAAATACTTTGTTTATATTTTAGATTGTACTTGTCCTTATTTAATTTAAAATGATGAATCTAGTCTGAATCAGCTGTTATTCCAAGCTATCATGCTTAAGCTATGTCAACAGCATTTGTTTGTACTAATGCTAATATTTCCATCTAAATTTGCCTGTGGAACATATACAGTCTTAATTTTAAACTGTCAGTTCTTGAGAGATACTGTATGAAGCTATTGTCAGCTTCTCTATTTCAAAATCAAGCATATAACTATATTGATACTAGAAAATATTTGTTTTTTTTAAATATATCAGTGTATGGTAAAGATGATCTAATTTGTGAATGCACATGTGTGTGAGGTTAATTTTTATAATGTGAAATGATGAATAATGAATTTACTCAAAATAAAACATAGGTTAATAAGATACCTGTGTTTGTGAAAAAAGTTTTAAATACTTTCCTGCAGTTTTTATTCTATAATTAAAGAGTAAGATAGTTCATTTGTAGGTAGTGAATAAGAGAAATATACCAGCGTCAACTATAAGAGCACAGTTACTCAGTGTGAGATCTTTTCATGCCATTTGTTTTCCTTTTTCCTTCCTTATGGCTTCTTTTTGGCTATTTTTAGTGATTCTTAATAATATCCTTTGCCAAAGGACAACCAGGTAAATGGAATTGTTATTATTCATTTTGTCAGTAGTTAAAATTCAGTAGGTATGAGAAATTTGACAGTACTGGTAAAGTAATCAATACACTCACACTCACTCTGGATTTCATTTAACTGTTTTCATTATGTCTCCTACTAGCACTAGTAATGTGGAATTGAATATATTAAGATCTGGAGAATTTGGTACATAATGAGACATCAAAATTGCATCAGTTTTTCTGGTGCTTTGATTTATAGTCAGCATTTTGTTAAATAAAATGGAGAATTTCAATTTATTTGTTAAATAGTGAATTTAGCAAAATTGTAAATTTTTATTTCCCATCATGCAAATGAGAGAAGGGGAAAATGATTTGACAGAGAAAAATGGCTACTTGTAAAGTTCAGAAATGTAGAGCAGTCAGTTGCAGTCTTATTCCTAGGCACTAAATTATCAAAACAGTTAATCAAATTTACTTATGGAAGTTTATTTATTTTTTTTGAGATGGATTCTTGCTCTGTCATGTGGGCTGGAGTGCAGTGGCACAATTTGGCTCCCTGCAACCTCCACCTCCTGGGTTCAAGTGATTTTCCTGCCTCAGCCTCCTGAGTAGCTGGGATTACAGGCATGCGCCACCATGCCCAGCTAATTTTTTTTTTTTTGGTATTTTTAGTAGAGACGGGGTTTCACCATGTTGATCAAGGTGGTCTTGAACTCCTGACCTCATCATCTGCCAGCCTCGGCCTCCCAAAGTGCTGGGATTACAGGTGTGAACCGCCCTACCTGGCCAGAAGTTATTTTTTAACAGAACATGACATTTCCTAAAATCTTTGAAATATCTGTTAAAATTATACTTCCTAGGACGGCTATATAGAAACAAAATAAAAAATGAATTGATGACAGTTACGAATATCTACATGTATCTACATTTATACCAGAAACAAGATGAATACTTTTGTGAGAGTTCTCAGTTTAACAACTTATCAAATTGATTCTTTAAACTAGTTGCATGACAAAGAAAAATCTCCCTCCATCTGTACCTGTAGGGAAAAAGGACATCTTCATCATCATTTTGTTAATGATTAAAACTTGCATTTTTAAGAATAAGTCCACAAATTTCACTAGTTAGCCTTATAAGCAAAAAAACTTTTACTACAGAAATGGAGATAGGGCTTTAAAGGATTTTACTTAATAGAGGTTGAATAAGGAGCACATAAAATTTTTCTTTATAACCTCATATACATTTAAAAAATCATTTCTATTATTTGATTTCCTGAGCTTGAATATCTTAGTCTGGAGATGAGTCAGTTTTGCCATACAATTGGTGGATGTATGAGAAATCTTTGAAATGAAACAGACTCTTCAGCTTGAGTAGAAGTTTTACAACGAGGATAAAATGAATTAGATTAATTCAGTAACCTGTTCTCAGTTGTTACAGCATGTATGTATGAGAGTGTATGGTTGAGTGTAGGAACAATTTTTTTTTTTTTTTTTGAGATAGAGTCTTGCTCTGTCACCCAGGCTGCAGTGCAGTGGCACTATGTCAGCTCACTGCAACCTCCGCCTCCCAGGTTTAAAGCAGTTCTCCACCTGAGCCTCCCAAGTAGCTGGGATTACAGGCACATGCCATGACGCCTGGCTAATTTTTTGTATTTTTAGTAGAGATGGGGTTTCACCATCTTGGCCAGGCTGGTCTTGAACTCCTGACCTTACAATCCACCCACCTTGGCCTCCCAAAGTGCTGGAATTATTGGCATGAGCCACCGCGCCCGGCAGGAACAATTTTTAAAACTTGACACATGTAGTGAGGACTTGTACAATGTTAAGATTTCCCCTGCTAAGTCGGAAACCCAGTGTGTGTGTGTGTGTGTGTGTGTGTGTGTGTGTGTGTGTGGTAAGTTACATTTTTTATTGGTCTGCATTTTTCAGTCATGCCTGTGTACTTGAGAAATCTGAAACTGAGTGTCTTAGGAACTTCTTAAAGCAAATGTGGGGGAACATTAGAAAATACGTTTAAAATACAGAATAGGTTCATTTTCTACCTTAAAGAGTAATATGTTAAATACAGTTATTATGCTCTTGTTGCCTTGCAGTGGATGTGGTGGGAAGAAGACAGGTTTTTGATCTGCATGCTTTTGCATCCTTCAGTAATGCACCTTTTTATAACTGGGTTTGGCCATACTGATTTCAGCGGGTATTGTGTTCTCACAGACTTTCTTTTCCAGATTTCATTTCTTAAAAGTGGGAAATTTGACTGAATTCTACTTTATTTTTCTTTCTACTATTTTTTCCACAAACAAATCTGACTAACTGAACACAAACAAGTGACTTAGGAATGTAGGAGTTAGTCCTCTGTCTTTGACCCTCTAGGGCCTAGAATTGCCTGTCTCTTCATGAGTGTCAGTTAGTGCTCTTGGAATTAATACAGAAATGAATTTTGTTTTATTATGCAGTCTAAATACTGACTTTTCATCATTCCAGGTTATGTATAAAAATCAATCCAGGTTTTGGAATGATGAAAAGTCAGTATTTAGACTCATGTTAATATTACCTATTCATATTACATTAGTCAAACAACTAATCAATAAATGAATTTTAGATTTGTTTAAACATTAGATAGCAGACAGACAGAAATCCAGCTAGGCATTTAATCAACATAGCTGACACTCTATTCAAGATTCACTCAGTATACTCTCTTCTGTTTCTGTGACAGAAAATGACTGCCTAAGGAAAATCAGGGATATTTGCCATTTCCCTTTTCACCCTGGGACAAAGTTTGTGCTTATGTTCTGTTTAACCCCCACAGGTAGCTGTAGTGCATGCTCTCTGTTTACCTGGTCCCCATCACGTGTTTTAGATGGAAGGAAGGAAGAGTGAAAAGGGCTCGAGGACTAGACTCAGGAAAGGAAGGCCTCTGACTGCCACTGCCACCCTGGGAGACCTTGGACAAGTGTTTTCTTCCCACTGAGATATAAGGTATGACTTAACCACTAGATGCCGAAGACACAGTGCCCAAGGCTGACAGTACTGTAAGGGCTCGTGAAGGTGTTTTGCTTAGCGCCATATGCTAGACATACAACTTTGAAGCTAAACAGACAACTTTGAAAGACAAATATATTCATCTTTTTACCAATGCAGCCATAAAACATATATATACATGAAAGAAGGAGGAGTCTACAAGGGTAAAAGTGCCTAGGGCCCATGAAAGTAAGAATGTGGAACTGTTTCTGGGTCCCTGTTTCTTTCCTCTGTAAAATGAAGGTAGATGATCTGTGATTCAGCCAGTGGCCTCTGCCAAGTGATTTGATGCACCATAGCAGCAGATGCTGTGAACAGGTCTGATTAGAGCTGTTTTCTTCTGATTTCAGCCAGCAAGAAATGATTCTACAATAGATTAAAGCACTTATTTTGCACCACAGAGAAGTAAAGAGAGAGAAACACATGACTCAAGGAGGAAGTGTACATGCCTTCCTCCCAAAGGCTTTATCTTGACATAGTGTTCTCACCTATAGCTTTTGAAAAATCCAAATATGTGAGCAACAGAGAAAAGATATTCTACTCAGCTAGTCTTCAGCCAAATAACTAAGACTCTTAGAAATAGGTAAAATACCAGACAGATTGCACAACTTCTTAAAAATATATATATCAATTTAATGCTTTTGTAGTAGTCCTTCCTTATCCATGGTTTTGCTTTCTGCAGTCTCACTTAACCATGGTCAACCATGGTCCAAAAACATTAAACGAAAAATTCCAGAAATAAACAATCTAAAAGTTTTAAGTGGCATGACATTCTGAGTAGTGGAATGGAATCTTGCATTGTCCTGCTATGTCCCACCCCGCCCAGGATGCAAATTCTCCCCTTGCTCAATGTCTCCACACTATCTACGCTCCTTGCCTGTGAGTCACTTAGTAGCCTTCTCTATAATTACTTTGAATGTCATTGTATTGCAGTGCCTGCATTCAAGTAACTCATTTTACTTAATGTTGTTATTGTTAATCTCTTAACTGTGCCTAATTTCTAAATTCAACTTTATCATGGATATGTATGTGTAGGAAAGAATATATATAGAGTTCAGCACTATTCACTGTTTCAGGCATCTGCCAGGGGTCTTTGAGTATATCCCCCTCAGATAAGTGGAGACTACTGTATTTATTTGAGAATGCCCTAAACTAGTTAAGAACAAAAGGGACACTCTATCCTGCCATCCATTGCTGATATCCTGTGTAGGCTTGATACTAGCATCTACTGCAGCACTAAGTGCTTATGCATGTCCTGAATCATAGGAGAGTCGGATTCACCACCCTGCCCAGAAACAGAAGCATTCCAGAGGTTTCTTCATAGATCATGAAATGAAATGGCCGGTTCACTTTGATGACAGGAGGCATGGAATAAGCAATAATTTCTGACAGGGTTCCTGCCACTGCCTCAGTGCCCCTTTCATCAACTTCGATCACTGCTCTTTGTAAAACCTGGAAAAGGAAATAATGTGAAAAACCATTTGTGTGACAGTGCAAAGGAGGAATTAATTGAGCCCCTTGAAATTCTTCACAGTGGTCCTACCGTGGGGTCATACTCCTGGTATTTAGTGGAGCAGGCCCATCTATGTTAAGAGGAGTGGTCTGGGGTTGCACCAGGGACTGCCATAGGAGTAGACCTCAGGAACCCAATGTGAAGTATTGTGGAATATGTGAAACACATTCTG